GAAGGGAACTGGGATTGTCATGTAAAACAATCCTGTTTTTAATTCAAATAAAAAACTAAAAAATCTATCAGAAAGTTTGATAGCAATCATTTATGCATATGGAACTCAACATGGGCACTAATGCAGAGGCCATGGAGGAGTGTTGCTTACTGGCTTGCTCTCCATGGCTTGCTCAGCCTGCTTGCTTCCTTCCTTCCTTTCTTCCTTTCCTGTTTTTGATTTGGGTTTTTTGTTTGTTTTTTTCAAGACAGGGTTTCTCTGTGTAGCCCTAACTGTCCTGGAACTCACTCTGTAGACCAGGCTGGCCTTGAATTCAATCTGCTTTCTTTTTTTTTTTTTTGTTTTTTGTTTGTTTTTTCCAAGACAGGGTTTCTCGGTGTAGCCCTAACTGTCCTGGAACTCACTCTGTAGACCAGGCTGGCCTTGAATTCAATCTGCTTTCTTTTTTTTTAAACTTATTTTTTATGTGCATTGATGTTTTACCTGCATGTATGTCTGTGTGAGGGTGTTCAATCTTGAAGTTACAGACAGTTATAAGCTGCCATGTGGATGCTGGGAATTGAATCCAGGTCCTGTGGAAGAGCAGTCAGTGCTCTTAACTTCTGAGCCATCTCTCTAGCTCTCAACCTGCTTTCTCATAGCACCCAGGACCACCATCCCAGAAGTGGCACTGCCTCTAGTGCTAACTCCTCCCACACCAATCATCAATCAAGAAATCATACACAGGCCAATTTGGTAGAGGCATTTTCTGAACTCAGTTCCCTCTTCCCAGGTGACTCTAGCTGACAGAGACTAGCCAACACAACTCTAATCCTTCAACTGTCCTTAAAGCTTCTCTATACCGTTAGCACACCCTCAGGGAGGACCCCACATACCAGGCAGGTGCTTATGCCATACCACCTACAAGACTATGGCATACAAATGAATACCAATATTTCTGTGTTCTTTGTATAACTAAGGGGTGATGTGTGGATAAAAACCATATGACAAAAAATTATAAATAACTTAAGATTCAGAAAGCTAGAACATTTTATTATACTTTCACATCCCTCATAATTTCTGGTAAGTGCAAAAAGTGCAATAAAACATCACATACAAGAAAATCTTCAAATCTACACATCTATTTGAAGGATAAGGACACCTAGAATAAGAATTATCATTCATCCAATCCCTAAAAACTGAAAAAAAAAGAATTGCCAGTCATTCACTATTCCTCAACAAAACATTACTAAGATCTGTTATGTACACACTTCAATAAGGTGGCCTAATCTCTGTGACAACATGTTAGGCAATACATATCAGAGACGACAAGAACCATTCACTCCATGTATGCACTAAAACAAAGCTTATACATAATATACACGGTTTTTCAAAATCCATTTTATGCTCTCTGGAGAAAACAGTTTAGAACTTCTCAGAAAGCAGCCTGAGGTCGGAGCTTTGTGTAGTTTTTAACAGTGAGGTTATTTTGTATATTTGAATGTATAACAAATTCCATCTTTTCAGAGATGAGTTTACATAACTCTGCTACCTGTGATGTAGTTCTTTCCACCCCACTGATTACTGATAAGCAGAAAGTTCAAAGTTTGGCCACATTCTACATAGTCATAAGAGTTCTGTGCTATGAAAAATTTTTATGTACATCAAGGTTTATTGAGGTATGGGCTGTGTTTAAGAAAAGATCTGAGGTATTAGTGAAAGCTTTGTTAACTTATTTCATGAGGGGATTTATTAGAGTCTTCTGAGGTCTACACATAGGACGGTGCTCTTTCTATGAATTTGCTACTGTCCAATAAGAAAGAACAGTGATCAAAGTCCAGGCCATATTGTCACATCTGTAAGTTGTTCTCCACTGTGGATCATTTAATATGGAATAACTGCTACACACCTGTTAAAGGTTTTGCTGAATTCCTCACACTTGTAGTGTCTCCCACATGTATGAGTCTTTGGGTGTGAAGTGATGATCCAGCAGTTGTTAAAGTCTTGAACTGCATGTGAACTATGAACTATCCAGTAACAAATATCTCACTATTGAGGCTTTGCCAAATTCTCTACACTGCTGGGTTTCACTAGCATATGAGTCTCCTGGTGCCGTTTCAGGCTGGAAGAAGTACTAAAGGCTTTGCTGCACTCTTTACATCGATAGGGTTTCTCTACGGTATGAATTCTCTGGTGCCGATTAAGCTGTGAGGAAAAGTAATAGGCTTTGCCACACTCTTTACATTTGTAAACCCTATCTCCAGTATGAATTCTCTGGTGTTTAGTAAGGTATGAAGAACAGTTAAAAGCTTTGCCACATTCCTTACATACATACGGTTTTTCTACAATATGGGTTCGCTGATGTTTATTAAGATAGGAAGAACAGTTGAAGGCTTTGCCACATTCTTTACATATGTAGGGTTTCTCTCCAGTATGAATCCTCTGGTGTCGGTTAAGCTGTGAAGAAAAGTAATAGGCTTTGCCACATTCTTTACATTTATAGAGTCTGTCTCCAATATGAATTCTCTGATGTTTAGACAGATAGGAAGAACAGTTAAAGGCTTTGCCACACTCTTTACATACGTAAGGTTTCTCCCCGGTATGAATTCGCTGATGCTTAGTAAGGTATGAAGTACAGTTGAAGGCTTTGCCACATTCTTTACATATGTAGGGCTTCTCTCCACTATGAATTCTCTGGTGTCGAATAAGCTGTGAAGAACACTTAAAAGGTTTACCACACTCTTTACATCTATAGGGAATCTCTTCAAAATGAATTTTCATATGCTGGATCAAGTATGAGGAACAGTAAAAGGCTTTGCCACATTCTTGACATTTATAGGATTTCTCTCCTGTGTGGATTATCTGGTGTCGACTAAGTGTTGAACTATTATTGAAGGCTTTGCCACATTCTTGACATTTGTAGGGCTTTGCTCCAGTATGAAGTATTTGGTGTCTCATCAGGTTGGAGTGGTATCTGAAGGTCTTGCCACACTCCTTACATATATAAGGCTCCTCTCCAGTATGGATTCTCTGGTGTCGAATAAGCTGTGAGGAAAGCCGAAAGGGTTTACCACACTCTTTGCATCTATAGGGCATCTCTTCAAAATGAATTTTCATATGCTGGATCAAGAATGAGGAACAGTAAAAGGCTCTGCCACACTCTTGACATGCGTAGGGTTTCTCTCCTGTGTGGATTATCTGGTGTCGACTAAGAGTTGAACTATTATTGAAGGCTTTGCCACATTCTTGACATTTGTAGGGCTTTGCCCCAGTATGAAGAATTTGGTGTCTTGTTAGGGTTGACTGATATCTGAAGGCTTTCCCACATTCTTTACATCTATAGGGTTTCTCTCCAGTATGGATTACTTGGTGTTGAGTAAGAGATGAGTGTTTAATAAAGGCCTTACCACATTCTTTACACTTGTATGGTTTTTCTCCCTTATGAATTATCTGATGTTGACTAAGGGTGTGACTTCTCTTGAAGGCTTTCCCACATTCCAAACATGTGTAGGGTTTTGCTTCAGTATGGATGACTTCATGTTGAGTAAGGGTTGAATTATATTTAAAGGATCTGCCGCATTCTTTACATTTGTAGGGTTTCTCTCCAGTATGAATTATTTGGTGTTGAGTAAGTATAGAATGTGTAGTAAAGGCTTTGCCACATTCTTTACACTTGTATTTACACTCTCTCTTATGAGTCATCTGGTGTTGTGTAAGATTTCTACTTCTCTTGAAGGCTTTGCCACACTCTTTACATTTGTAAGGTCTTGCAGCAGTATGAATTATGTGGTGTTGGAAGAGGACTGAGCGGTATTTAAAGGCTTTGCCACAATCTTTACATTTGTAGGGCAAATCTCCTTTATGTACCCTGTGATGCTGATCAGAAGCTGAGTCATCAATGAAAGCTTTGCCATGTTCTTCCTGTTTGTATGGCTTCTCTTCACTATGCACACATTGACGGATGCTAAGTTTTGTGTGTTGATCAAAGGCTTTTACGGAGTTGTTACAGTCGCAAAGATTTTCTGGGGAGAAAAGAGGACATACAATTTCAACCATGCTTAAAGCTATGACTTTCATTACACTAACAACATTTTCTCTCCAATACGTTATTTCCCAGCCTCATTAATCTTCCTATCTTCATTACACATATATTGGATTCTCTAAGTACCTATATCTGGATTTGGACATAGAAAATAATTGACGGCACTTTGGAGGCAGAGGCAGGCAGATCTCGGTGAGTTCGAGACCAGCCTGGTCTACAAGAGCTAGTTCCAGGACAGCCTCCAAAGTCACAGAGAAACCCTGTCTTGAAAAACCAAAAAAAAAAAAAAAAAAAAAAAAAGAAAAAAAAAAAAAAAAAAAAAAAAAAAAAAAAAAAAAAAAGAAAATAATTGACGGGTGGCTAACTGAATGCAGGAGCTCACACCTGTAAGCTCAGCATGTAGGAGGGTGAAACAGAAAGATCACGGAAAGTTCAAGGTGAGCATGGGCTCTATACCAAGTAACAGGGCTACACAGTGAAACCTTGTCTCAAAATAAACAACAATAGCAACAACAAACCAAAACAACAATAAATTACTGCATTTATTAAAGCTGTGTATTTTGGTGCAGAGAAAACAAATTTGCTGGTGACAGAATAGTGAGTCTTTCAAAAAGACAATCATACTTTAAAATGTGTTCTTCATTCCTAAATCTCTCTTCTAAAGGAATATTTGATTCAAAGTTTGGTCCAGCTACATTTCAATTATTCAGGATCTTAATCAAACCATGGAAAAGGTGCATTCTAAGAATTACCCAAATCTCATTTAAGAGGAAAGTTATTTTTCCAAGCATGATGTGAATATTTAATCAAACACAGACAATTTTTCTTTTCTCTTTTCTTTTTTTGGTTTTTCAAGACGGGGTTTCCCTGTGTAGCTTTGGAGCCTATCCTGGCACTCGCTCTGGAGACCAGGCTGGTCTCGAACTCACAGACATCTGCCTGCCTCTGCCTCCCAAGTGCTAGGATTAAAGGCATGTGCCACCAACACCCGGCCTAAAACACAGTTTCTTAATAATGATTTTCTGAAATGCTGTATGCTCTTGATCTCAGTTAGCAATGGGTTTTCTGTTGTGTAGTTGCCACATTCTGACTATAAAATGCTTTTTAGCCTTCACATTCATTGGTATTTGTAGAGCTTCTCTCCTACATGAACGCTCTGGTGTCAATCAAGAGTTGTAATATTAGCCAGGCAGTGGTGGCGTACACCTTTAATCCCAGCACTTGGGAAGCAGAGGCAGGTGGATCTGTGTGAGTTCGAGGCCAGTCTGGTCTACAAAGCAAGTTCCAGTACAGGCTCCAAAGCTACAGAGAAACCCTGTTGAAATATTATTGAAGCCTTTGTCACATGTTTGATATTTGGAGAATTATACTCGATGTGAAAAATTTGGTGTCAAGTAAGGTTTGATTGATATTTGAAGGCTTGCTACATTTCTATCTTTCTTTAATGCAAACTGTCAAGGTCATAACTTCTGCATCTTCTTATCATATTTTGGAATAAGTGGGGTTTTTGCTCTGCTTTTGTGAAGAGCCTAGGATATAATGAGAAGCAACACCTGCAAGAACTCAAAATAACAAATCCCCTCAGTTACTACACTAAGGTGGATTGTTTCTGAATCTGACCTCAATACCATGGCAAGCAGACATGTCCTCCAGACAGCAGAACAGCAAACATAAAGACCTCTCCATTTTCCCATGGTATTGCTGAAAAGCCTGTTATACTTCTCATCAATCACAGTTCTTCACTTCTGAAACCCCACTGTACCAACACCCCAAAACAAAAACAACTTGCCACATCAGTCTGCTCTCCTGGGTGAGAAAATGAGAAGAACAAATGAATACATTTGTGAAGTGTCTGAAGGTTCCCTGATAGGGAATGTCAGTATATTCTGTGCCACAGAGGAAGAGATAACAGGTATTCTTGGACATCAGGTCAGAATGGGAAGACTAAACCTAAACCTAAATAATTACAGCATCAGCAAGATGATATTACTTCAGATAGTTAACCAGAGAAGAGGAGACTATAGGATCTTTTTTAATTGTTTATTATTTTTAATTACTCATATTTACATATCCATCCCCCCATTCCCTCACCCTCCCCTCCTCCCATGCTCTCCACCCAACCCACCCCACGCCCCCCACTCCTCTCCAGGGGTAGTGAGGCCCTCTACCAAGAACCTTCAAAGTCTGTCATATTGTTTGGAGAGGGTCTAGACCCTCTTTGCTGTATCTGAGCTACAATAGTATCCCTCCATAGAGAATGGGCTCCCGAATTCCATTTAGAAGCTCCGCGTCTAAGGAGCCATAGACTGTCTTGGGCTCCTAGCTGACACCCACATTCAGAGGGTTTGGTTGGTCCAATGCTGTTTCCCCAGCTTTATGACTAGGGTCTCCATTCTATCAGTAGGTCAGGTCCACTGTTTCTGCAGGTCTCTCCATCCCCATCTTGGCTCCTTTGCTCAACCCTCCTCCCTCTCCACAACTGAATTCCAGTAGTATGGTTCAGTGCTTAGCTGTGGGTGTCTGTTTCTGCTTCAAACAGCAACTGGATGAAGACTCTCCTTCCTCTCCCTGGCCCCAGGCTCCAATTTGATCAGGGGTTCTTGTCCCCATCCCCCTCTTCGAGGAACCATGCAATCTTCTCTTGGGTTCCTGCTTGTTTCCTAGCTCCTCTAGCAGTGTGGAATGTAGGCTAGTGATCCTTTGCTCTGAGTACATACCATGTTTATCTTTTTGTGATTGGGTTACCTCACTGAGGATGGTTTTTTCTAGTTCCATCCATTTGCCTGCAAATTTCAAGATTCCATTGTTTTTTTCCGATGAGTAGTACTCCATTGTGTAAATATACCACATTTTCTCTATCCATTCATCAGTTGATGGGCATCTAGGTTGTTTCCAGGTTCTGACTATTACAAACAATGCTGCTATGAACATAGTTGCACATATGTCCTTATTGTATGCGTGTGTATTCTTTGGGTATATGCCCAAGAGAAGGATTGCTGGATCTTGAGGTAGACTGATTCCCATTTTCCTGAGAAACCACCATACTGCTTTCCAAAGTGGCAGTACAAGTTTGCACCCACCAGCAATGGAGGAGAGTTCTTCTTTCTCCACATCCTCTCCAGCATAGATTGTCATTGGTGTTATTGATTTTATACATTCTGACAGGAGTAAGATGGTATCTCAGAGTGGTTTTGAGTTGCATTTCCCTGATGGCTAAGGATGTTGAGCACTTTCTCAAGTGTCTTTCAGCCATTTTGGATTCCTCTGTTGAGAATTCTCTATTTAGTTTTACACTCCATCTTTTAATTGCATTGTTTGGTGTTTTCATGGCTAGCTTCTTGAGTTCATTGTATATTCTGGTGATCAGCCCTCTGTCAGATGTGGGGTTGGTGAATATTTTTTCCCATTCTGTGGGCTGGCATTTTGTCTTGCTGACTGTGTCCTTTGCTTTACAGAAGCTTCTCAGTTTCAGGAGGTCCCATTTATTAATTGTCGATCTCAATGTTTGTGCTACTGGTGTTATGTTCAGAATGTTCATGTTCAAATGTTCATGTTCAAACAGAATGTTATGTTCAAAATGTACCAATTTGTTCAAGGATGCCACCTACCTTCTCTTCTAAAGAGGTTCAGTGTTGCTGAATTTATGTTGAGGTCTTTGATCCATTTGGATTTAAGTTTAGTGCATGGCAATAGATCTTAAATAATATACTAGAAAATGGAAAGACCTCCCATGCTCTTGGATAGGTAGGATCAACATAGTAAAAATGGCAATCTTGCCAAAAGCAATCTACAGATTCAATGCAATTCCCATCAGAATCCCAACACAATTCTTCATAGACCTTGAAAGAACAGTACTCAACTTCATATAAAAAAAACAAAAAACCCAGGATAGCCAAAACAACCCTGTACAATAGAGAAACTTCCGGAGGCATCACCATTCCTGACTTCAAGCTCTATTATAGAGCCATAGTCCTGAAAACCCCTTGGTATTGGCACAAAAATCGACAGGTTGACCAATGGAATCGAAGTGAAAATCCTGATATTAACCCACACACCTACGAACACCTGATTTTTGACAAAGAAGCTAAATTTATACAATGGAAGAAAGCATCTTCAACAAATGGTGCTGGCATAACTGGATTCGGACATGTAGAAGATTGCAGATTGATCCATATCTATCCCCATGCACTAAACTATAGGATCTTTTTAAAAGATTTTTTTAATGTATGCATGTGTTTGTATACAGGTATGTACATGTTAAGTGCAGTGCCTGCAGAGGCCAGAAAGGGGCAATGGAGCCCTGGATTATGGGAAGTTGTGAGCCACCCAACCTGAACAGAGAACCAAATTTGGGTCTTCTGCAGAAGCAGGACTCACTCTCAACCACAGACTTCCCTCCAGCCCAGGCCCAAGAAGCTGTAAGCAGAAATATGAGCAAGCATTTCTAACAGGAAAAATAAAAATAAAACCCTACAGAAAACATAAAACAAAAATCTACTTGAATAACTCTAATGAACACTACATAGTTCAATGGTGTAGTATCTGGATGGTCCCAATCCACAGAAATAGGAACAGCTTATAGGTTTTACATTACTATTGTTCTAATTTGTTATTTGTATACTTAAAGGTTACAAAGTATAACCTGTACTGGGGTTAGAGAGATGGCTCAACAGTTTGGAGCATGTGTAGCTCTTCCAGAAGATCCAGGTTCAGTTCCTAGCACCCACATGGCAGGCAGCTCACAATAAGTCCAACTCCAGGGGCTCCTGAAAACTCATCTCCATTGAACACAGACCTTCCCAATCCCCATCTAAAAGCATGGCTTCTTGTGTGTCTTCTTCCTGTGTCATTTCTACCTACCTGGGTACATGGTTCCTGACTCTTGTCTCTTCACATTCCAAGGCACCTGTCTCTGCTCCAGCAATGAGACCCGGTAGGGCTTACACACAGCAAGGTCTGTTTATTACAAAATAGAGAACCATGTTCAGTTAAGAGTCTCCTACTAAGTGATAACATTTCACTGACCATATTGTTCTGGGAAAAAAGAAGAGATATAAAAGGAGATTTGAGGAAATGATTTTTTATTATTCTCTGCCATATACATCAGAATATGTCTGATGGGTGATGGAGGTGAACACTTTTAATCCTAGCACTTGGGAGGCAGAGGAAGGCAAATCTCTGAGTTAAGGCCAGCTTGTTCTACAGAGTGAGTTCCAGGACGGCTAGGGCTACACAGAGAAAAACCAAAACCAAAAGGAAGAAGGAGGAGGAGGGGGAGGGGGAGGAGGAGGAGAAGGAGGATGAGAAGGAAGAGGAGAAGGAGGAGGAGGAGAATGAGGAGGAGGAGGAGGAGAAAAGAAGAGGAGGAGGAAGAGAGGTGGAGGAGGAGGAGGAGGAGTGGGGGATTTTCACTTGGAGATGCTAAGCTTCACTTGCACACATGACCAACTCAAAGCAAATGGTCTTCAAGAAACAGCCACAATGCTTCATGCCAGCAAGTTTCTGAAGTCACCACTCATCTAGAACAGTGACTCTCAACCTTCCTAAAGCTACGACCCTTTAATACAGTTCCTCATGTTGTGGGGACCCCCAACCACAAAGTTATTTTGTTGCTACTTCATAACTGTAATTTTGCTGCTGTTATGAATTGTAAATGTCTGCTATGCAGGATATTTGATAGGTGACCCCTGTGGGGGTGGGTCAAGACCCACTGGTTAAGAACCACTGATCTAGAGTGAAAAAGAAACACTTCCTCAAGAAAGAAGATTTCAACATAAATACAATTAAAATGATCGTCTCCAGATCATCAAACCCCTAAATATTTCCCTTATGTTAACTGCCTCATACAAAACAGAAGCCCTGAGAAACAGTCTACAGAGAAGGGAAATCAGATGTTGAGAGAGAGTTAAGAATTCTGTAGACGAGAGATCCTCATCCAGGGAAACAAGGTTTCTGTAATTCTCCAACATCACATTTCTATATAAATTCCACTGAGCAGTCTAGGCATTCCCATTCCTCTGGAGAGAAATCAATGGAAACATCCTTAAATGATAACAGCTCCTGAAATAAAAGTTGATAGCACAGAGAACTAAACAGAAAGAAAACAAACAACCCAATCAAAAACTGGGCTAAGGAACTGGACGAAGAGTTCTCCAAAGAGGAAAGACAGATGGCCAATAAATACTTTTAGGATGGTTTAATGTCCTTAGCCATCAAATATATGCACATTTTATACTTCCATCTCACCTTAGTCAGAATGGGTATAATCAAGAAAATAAATGACGGGGCTGGCAAGATGGCTCAGAGATCAAGGGCACTGGCTGCTCTTCCAGAGGTCCTGAGTTCAATTCCCAGCAACCACATGGTGGCTCACAACCATCTGTAATGAGATCTGGTGCCCTCTTCTGGCCTGCAGGCAGACTTGCAGCACTGTGTAATAATAAATAAATCTTAAAAAAAAAAAAAAAGAAAGAAAACAAACGATCATGAGGATGCAGGGAAAGGAGAGCACCGAGTCGCTGTTGGTGGGAGTATAAACTGGTATAGCCACTGTGGAAATCAGTGTGAAGGCTTCTCAAAAAGCTAAAAATAGACCACCACATGTCCCTGCATCAACCCAGAGGGCTCCATATTCTACTACAGACATATATGACCATGGCTGCACTATCCTAATAGTTAGGAAATGGGATCAGCCTAGATACCCATCAGCTGAAGAGTGGACAATGAAAATGTGATGCATATACACAGTGGTATTTTATTCAGCTGTAAAGAAAAAGGAATTTTGCAGGGAGATGGATGGAATTGAGAAAAGTTATACTGAGGCCCAGAAAGACAAATGCCACACATTCTCTCTAGTGTACTATCCTATCTCTGCGTATTCAGATCTGTTCACTTCACTTGGGGTGTTTATGGAGGTCAGGAAGCTAGATGGGAGCCTCTGAAGGGAACAAGACCTTAACAGAGGAGGGACAGAACAATACATGTGACATGAAAGTAGCAGGTGGATAGAGGGACAGCACCTCCCCCAGTAGACTGGGCCCTTTCATATCAATCATTAATCAAGAAAATACCCTGTAGGCCAATCTGATGGGGGCATTTTCTCAACTGAGGTTCCCTCTTCTCTAGTTTGTGCCAAGCTGACAAAAACAAAAACAAAACCACCTAACCAGGTCACTGTGTTCTGATTAGCAAGCAGTACTGTTATAACTGGAGAAATAGATCAGTGGTTACTGCTCCCTACAGAGGGTAAAGGCACTTTTGGCCATGGTTGACAATTTGGGTTCCCTCCTCAGGACCCACAAGGCAGAAGGACTCCCACAAGTTGTCCCCTGACCTCCAACCTCCACAAGCATATTGTAGTGCACACACACAACCCCATGTACACACACACACACACACACACACACACACACACACAAATTAAATGTAATTTTAAAATTTTAAACTTTAGGGGGAAAAGGCATTCTAAAATTTATACAGAAAGGCAAATACCCAGAATAGTCGACACAATGCTGAAAAATAAGTTCACCAGATGGACACTAGCTAACGTTAGTGAATTGGGCAGAGAAGTGACAGGAGTCCCAGGCTGTGGTAAAAAGGGATGAATCCATACACCCTGGGGATAGCTCCATCAAGAGCTGTGAATTGAGAGGTGTGGGAGAGAACAAACTTGAGTAGCTGGCAAATGTGGCTCACTTTTTTTTCTTGTGAGAAGTTCCCATACTCCATAACCACCCCAGAGAAACACAAAGGAGGTGGCACTATTAGGAGGTTTGGCCTCATTGGAGAAAGGGGGGTCACATACTTTTCTTATTATTCTATAGCAGTGCAGAAAAGCTACTAGTTATGTAGTGTTTCTATGATAGCAAGGGTTGTGAGAAATTTAAAATGAAGCTTACCAGAGGACGTCTGTAAATGACTTGCAAATGCTATCAGTATACACAAACTGTTGGAGCATCTGCAGATTGTGGGCAGATGAATCTCTACCATTTCTACTCCAACTATCAATTTGCTAACCAATGCAACTTACATTTGTTTAGTGAGTTCCCTGATTCCGAATTGTTCATGAGACTTTGCTTTTAGAAAATCAACCAGAACACTAGAAACACAGGAAGGACCCATGACAAACTGTCAACTTAAGGGACCTTAACACACTCATGGAGGCATACAGGAGACTAAAGCATGATAGGCTACTGCTGTTGCCCTTGGTTCCCTACTGCTGAAGACACTGTGTACTTCAGACACAGGACCAAGAGGATCATATCTGAAAGACTCCTCCCTGGGGACTAAAGGTCATGGTACCAAAAGGTGCCGTACAACTTTCCAAAGGAGATAAGCAACCGACAGTGCCACCAAGCTATGAAACCTCTGAACATGCGAACAGCCAGAATAGCATAACACATGCAAGAACAGCTTGGAGGTGACTAACAACTCTCTCAACTGGATTTAATGCTTGCTAACCAAGAAGGAACTCATGCCTGGTCCTGGAAACCTAGCCAACTACCAGAACTAGTGAGGTCATGGGTCTTGGAAGAGAACCCATGACTGTCACTTTACTAAGCCAGCATAGTTTCTAATTGCATTCTAACCACTCATCCCTATACTCACAGATAATTATCACAGATAATGAGGGGTGTAGCTCTCACCCCTCATCAAAGAAAACTCTCTTTGCAACAGATGGAGACCATTACAGAAAAACACACAATTGATCAAAAGGCAGAAAACAAGTGACTGTATCAGCCACAACTGACACATCTACAACACGACTCCTACACCTGAAGCTTGGGGAACATCACAGGGGTGGAGGAGTAGGTACCAGAGGAGCTGAATGTCCGGTGTCAGATTGTGCCTCCTAGAAATGTGAGGGAAGCTACACCCAGCAAGCTTCAGCCACTCAATTCCTAAACAAGACCTGAACCTGGATCACACCAACAGACTTGCTGATGTGGAAAGCACAATCTCACAGGCCCCAACCCTAGAGAAAGAACTACTGGTCAGTAAAGATGGCAGAGAACGGGAGAAATGGTCCTCCTCTAGGAAGAGCCTCCGAATGGCTCAGACTTCCGTGTGTGTGTGTGTGTGTGTGTGTGTGTGTGTGTGTGTGTGTGTGAGAGAGAGAGAGAGAGAGAGAGAGAGAGAGAGAGAGAATTAAATAATGGTAAAGAGTAAAATGTATTTCTCTTCAATCTCTTCATGCCTAGGATAAAAAGACGGGCCATGGAAAGGATATCCAAAATAGAACTCAGAGTACTATAATCTCAACTTCACACTGCACATGGATAACTGACTGATTTGTATGTTGAAATAGGGTCTTGCAATGTAACTGAGGTGGTCTGGTACTTCCTGTGCAGCCCAAGCTGGCCCTGAACTCAATCCCTCATGCAGCATCCCAACTGCTAGAAATACAGGCCATGCACAACTACGCACAAACGTGACCAATTATGTCAAAGAACACATGGATATAAAACTGACTGGGGGGATCAGTAAGTAAAGGAAGATGAATACTAAAAAAAGAGATTTCGGATCCTTTAGGTTTCTGCCGGAACAGGACATTCTTAAACTTCACCGAGTTTCCTCAAGTAGGCACTTGAATGGATACCAGCCTCATGCTCAGGTGAGAGGGTGTTCAAGCTCTATCAAAGCATATTACAGTTTTGCTGAAGTAGTCACAGAACACAAGAGAGACCTCGTCTACAGATGGGCCCAGAGAGGACAGGATGCATTTTTGTAAAGAAGAGAATGCCAAAGCTCACAACATGGCTGATGTGTCTACAGTGGATGCCTACTGATGTCAGACATGGGGAAAAACAAACAAACAAAACAAAACAGAACACCGAGTGACCCAAATTTTTCCATCCTTTATTCCAAGGACTTTATATATGAACTGCCAAGCTTTGGGAGCAAAGGAAGTGAAACTCTTCCTAGACCTCAGGCAGAGAGTAACTATGAATATATGTGTAAGCACATCCATGGGGTAATCACAAGGTAGAAAAGGGGTTTTAAAAAAAACTCACACCTGTATATTCCTAGAAATTGTTTATATTATATGCTTCCAGGAGCTACATAAAAGCATAGATTCTAATTTATTTGTAACAGCATTATGTTTTTGTTTTTGTTTTTGTTTTTGTCTTTTGAGACAGGGTTCGTTTGTAGCTTTGGAGGCTGTCCTGGAACTAACTCACTCTGTATACCAGGCTGGCCTTGAACTCACAGAGATCCACCTGCCTCTGCCTCCCGAGTGTTGGGATTAAAGGTGTGGGCCGGCTGCAACAGCAATTTAACTCAGGGTTGAGCACAGCTTTTAGAAGGGCTGTTACCAAAAAGATAATTCAGCCTTCAGGAGGCATCAACAAAACCAAGGAAACTTGCAGGCCAGCCTGGGCTACATGAAGCGAAGTCTGTCACTAGAAAAAATGGGGGGAAAGAGGAACATAATCACAGGGGAAGGGGGAGGGGTAATCCCGGAAACTATTGGAGATGACAAATCAAATATCAGATTTTTTTTAAATGTGAAAGCGCTTCAAAACAAAAAAGTTAAAATTGACTTACTGTATGACCCAAAAGTCACGACACAAGAGTAAGTAAACCAGGATGAGGATACAGTTATACAATAGCCAATACGTGTGAACAAATGCAGTGTCTCCACTTAAAATATACCAACGGTCTCCCCACGCCCCTTAGCATCCAGCCGCTCCCCATAAAGGCTGCGTGTTCACAGATCCACCCTAGGGCAGAATCCAGCGACTCCTCTTTACTATACAACTCCTATCCTGAGACAAGGCAACTGGGAACACCTAGTGTCAGCATTTGACGTCAGGAAGTAGTGGACTCCAGTACCAATAAATAAGATTGGAGGATGAAATGAAGACACACCGCCTCAGAAAATCAGCCAGGGGAAAACTCAACCCAAAGATACCATGATAAAGTGTCCGTGGCTAGGGAAGATAAGGGGAAGTGCGACATAAATGTTTTACCAAGAATCTAATAACTATCCTGTGCTTTCAGCTCGGTCGCAGCTTTCACGATCACAAAACAATTCCTTTCAAATTTGCCACTCGATGTGCATAGTGGGGCGGGGGAATTAAAACCGCAGAATCCGGTTGAAACCTACGTGGGAACAGTTTAATTTGAAGACAGGAAGCTGGCGTGGGAAATTCTTAGGAATTCACTGTCCTGGGTGGATGCTGCCCATAAATTAGGACGCTCGGAAGGTGGCTCGAGGACCCCAGCCCAGAGCTGTCAGGCAGGTCCCGCACACAGGGGAGTCGAGTTGTCCCCAAGCTCCGGTCACCGGGCTGTCAGAGCTATGCCCTGGCTGTGAGCCGCCAGAGACACCCCAGAAGGAATCGGCCTGCGACTCGCCGCTGACCCCGAACGGCTCAGTTGCCGCTCAGCCCCGATTACTAGGAGGCCGGGCCCCGACTCACCATGTCCGGATTCCGGAACGAATTGTTTCCGCGGTGTCCCGTTCCGGGGTGTCCGGGTTCCCGGGTTCCTCATTGTCCCGTTCCGGGGTGTCCGGGTTCCCGTTCTGGAGACCCGTTCCGGAGTGCCCGGGTTCCGAGGTGTCTAGGAGTCCTCCTGTGAGTCCAAGTGATGAGGTCACGGGTTGGCCGGCTACAGCGAGACCGGGAAACGCAGACTGGAAGCACCTTGGCGGCGCTCCACACAAAGCCAGCAAGGCTAAAGCCCACTCAGGGGCAGTTCTCAGTCTGGTGGCCCTGAATGGAGCCTTGATTGACAGTGCATAATTGATTACCACTTCCAGGTTGAGTAAGGACAAAATGACACGTCTTTGCTGCTCAGATTTTATTTATTTATTTGTTTTGTTTTCTTTTCCAAAACAGGGTTTTGCTGTATTGCTTTGGAGGTTGTCCTGGAACTCGATCTGTTGACCAGGCTGGCCTCAAACTCACAGAGATCCGCCTGCCTCTTCCCCCCGAGTTCTGGGATTAAAGACATGTGCCACCAACGCCCGGCACAGATTTTTAGTTTATTATTTGTTTTATTTTTAAATATTTTTGGAAATTCTCTGAGAATTTCATACATGTATTTTGACCAACTTCTGTATATTTTGCATTCCCTTACAGTTCCTTCAAATCCCTATTAAATATCTGGTATTTACAAATTGTAATTTTCATTTCTGACTTTGTGATAAGAAATTGGCATGTTAACATGATTTCCACTTTGTTCTGGAAAGAACACTTTGATGAATACAGAATTTTTTTTAAATACAGAATCCTGTAATGACATTCTTTTTCTCTGAAGTAAAAGTTGTAACTTCTTTTTTGTTTGTTTGATTTTCAAAACAGGAGTTCTCTGTGTTTCCCTGTATGTCCTGGAACTTACTCTGTAGATTAGGCTGGCCTCTGTTGGGATTAGAGACGTACACCACCACACCAGCTTCATTTTTTAATTTCTATTCTTGATTACATGTTTCTGTACCAGAGATCATACTTTCCTATATATGTATTGGTTTTGCTTCTTTCTTTCTTAGTTTTCAGTTCATCTTTGGATCCTACCAGTTTGACTATGGTCTTTAGGGTCACTATTGCTGTGATTAACACCACGACCAAAGCAACTTGGAGAGGAAGGGGTATATTTTGCTTATGTTTCCACATTACTGGCTTGCTCAACCTGCTTTCTTTTCTTTTCTTTTCTTTTTTTTTTTTTTTTGGTTTTTCGAGACAGGGTTTCTCTGTGTAGCTTTGGAGCCTATCCTGACACTCGCTCTGGAGACCAGGCTGGCCTCCAACTCACAGAGATCCACCTGCCTCTGCCTACCAAGTGCTGGAATTAAAGCCGTGCGCCACCAACGCCCGGCTTCAACCTGCTTTCTTATAGAATTCAGTACCACCACTCACAATGGGCTGGGCCCTCCCCCATCAATCACTAAAGAAAATACCCCCACAGGCATGCCTGTACCCTAGTCATATGGAGGTATTTTCTTAATTATGATTCTGTCTTCTCAGACAGCTCTACATTGTGTGGAATTAACAAAAAAAAAAATAAGAAAAGGGAAGAAAGAAGAGAAGGAAGACAGCAACAACACAGGGGGCTTTGGGGCATTTCAAACTATAAGTCAAACAGATCAGCTTTCACTGAGAAAGACAAGCTGACTGGAAATGAAAGCCTCTTAATCAGAAGCAGATTAAGGTTTGATTTCTAAGAAATGGTGTACAGAGAAGTGGAGTCACATAAACAATGGCTTTTAAAGAAGGACAAGTAGGATAGTGTGCCAATAATTTTTACTACAAATCATTAGACCCATTTGCACAACCTCCAGAAATGCTGTGGGGTATCTATCCACCAGAGAAGACTATTTGAACATGGGTTTAAGCCAATAGAAAGTTTTTGTTAGCCAGCCAGCAATTACACTGGGTGTTCAGAATCCCAGTGTCACCCTGAGCCTTTCTCAGGGTGCACGTTTAAGCACAAAAACCATATCCTGGGCTGACATAATTCAGATGCAAAAGCAGTTAGTCAAAAGCAGAACCACAGAAACCAAAAGGCAAGGTTAGTACATTTAAAGACTTTCCCAGAACTATGGATTTTTGTGGATTAGGTATTTGTTTTTGTTTTGGTTAGTGGTGCTGTCTATGTGTTCAGTTTTAGGGCTTGAATGGTACTTTCATCGTGGAGTCAGTTATGTTAAGTTCTGGGGGCCTGTTACAAAAGGATCACTGCTTACTGGCTTGTTTTCCAGAGCTTGCTCAACTACTATTCTTAGGCCCACCTACCTGCCTACAAATGCCACTACCAGAAGTGAGCTGGGTCCTCCTACATTAAATATCAATTAGGACAATCTGATGGAGGTTATTCCTCAATTGAGGTTCCCACTTCCAAATGGACTCCTAATGGACTCTGTGTTAAAATGACAGCTTAAGCTACGACACTAGTTGTCTTAGTCACTTCTTTATCGCTGTGATAAAACACCATGGCCAAGGCAGCTTATAGAAGAGTTTATTTGGGGCATACAGTTTGCAGAAGGATAGAAATCTATGACAATCATGGTGGGGATCATGGCAGCAGTCAGGCAGGCGTGGCGCTGGAGCAGCAGCTGAGAACTCAGAAACTAGCACACAATGAGCAGAAGCACACTGTGAACGGCCCAAGTCTTTTGAAACCTCAAAGCCTGTCACCCCAGCCACACCTTCTTCAAACAAGGCCACATTTCTTAGTCTTTCCCACACCGCTGCCAACTAGAGACCCAAGAATTCAAAAGCCAGAGATTTACGGAAGACATTTCATTCAACGGAAGACATTTCATTCAAACCACCACAGTCACCTTGTTTTACCACAGCAATAGAAAAGTAGCAGACAGAAGTTGATTCCAGGAGTGGGTACTGCCATGAAGAAACTGACAATGTTGTTTCTTTTAAGATGGATTTATTATGTATACAATGTTTTGTCTGCATGCATGCATGCCTGCATACCAGACAATGGCACCAGATGGTTGTGAGCCACCATGTGGTTGCTGGGAATTGAACTCAGGACCTCTGGAAAAGGTCTTAACCAGTGCTCTTAACCTCTGAGCAATCTCCAGCCCCGACAATGTTGTTTTATGGAGAAATGTGGAGGGCTTTGAGATTTTTGGACCTGAAAAGTGGATGAACACTGTAATCAGAGCTTATTGGACCATCTTATAGGAGACAGGAAGCTAATAGTGAGGAGAGCTATAGGGGCTATGAAGGCCAAGATCAAGAGGTTTCACAGGGAAATGAAGCAACTGGGCTTATATTCTTGTGATGGTTTTTGCAAAGGATGTAGCTGTTTTCTGCCCTGGTCCTAAGAATTTGCTGGGGTTAATTAAAAAGTGATGGGCTAATTGCTTTGGTAGAGATTTCAAGACAGTCTAACATATTGACTCTGTGATGTGGTTATTGGTGATCATGCTTATGCAGGACTATATTGAAAAATAGCATGTGGGAGTTTTTCCTGATGAAATTAACCCTTTCCTCCCCAAGCTGCTTGTGGTCATGGAATTGGATGATATCAATAGAAACCTAACTAGAACACTTTTGTAACTAGGATCTGGGAGTCTGAGCTCAGGTCAGACCCAAGCACTTTAACCCACTGTGTCACCATCATAGCCCTATGTTTCAGTTCTGATCAGAGTCAAGGGCTTTGGTCATTTTGCTGGTGACACTGGTATAGCAACAGGTACAGTGAAGATGGTCATGTTGGATTTCATGACTAAAGCTGAAGTTAGGCCACACAAGGAAACGTAGGTTAGTTAGCACTGCAAGAAGCACCTCACAATCATTATGAATTAGGCTTTCCATTTCTAATTTTTCATTAGTATATTGAAGGTGTACAGGGTGTGTACATGGCTGTACATGCCAAAATATGTGTGTGGGAATCAGATGACAACCTTCGGGGTGATTCTATCCCTACACTTTTGCATAGGTTCTGGGAATCCAACTCAGTTTACACTTCTGCCTCCTGAGCAATCGTGCTGGACCTTGAACTTTTTCTTGGTCCTTATGTCTTTTACCGAGGCCAGATTTTCCACAACCCCCACTCTCCTGTGCAACCAGTGTGTGCAATTGTAATCCGAAGGCCAAGAAGCCCTGGTGTACCTGTCTTGAGTATTTCAGTCAAAGGACTGTTTCCCAGAGTTCATAAGGAAGAAATTAAAGAGTACTAGTGCGCTCCTAAATGATTTTATTTCCTGAGCCATGGGTCACAAAAGCATAAATTACATGACTGCACTGGAGGAAAAAATTAAGGTTTTTGTTTTTGTTGTTTTAAAGGTAGGCATTATGTGTATGTTATCCACATCTTTCATCCGAAAAGAAAAAAGTATACTAGGTGTGGAAGTTATTCACTCAACCCAGAGCCCTTTCCAGGTGTAGTCAATTGAAAAGAGCTATGGTGCTAGCTTAGCACCTGTCAGAACAAGAGGACCAGCATGGCAGGACACAGTACAGCCCTGCTTCCTTCTCAGCTTGAGCCAGACCAAGCAGCAAAAGCTCCTTGTGGAGAGACTGGCAGGTGGAAGACGCATAGGGGCCCTGCGGCAGTAGCAGCACTTGGGGATGAGGCTGAATGGCTTCTGTGATATGACTGTGGGTTGTGCAGGACGAGGTGAGGTAGTGTCTCTGACACATTCTATTGTACCTAGTGCTGAGTGGTGGCAAAGAAGGCTGTTGGGGACCAAGTGTGCAACTAATCTATCCACTTAGTAAGCACCAGATGGAGACCAATAGAGGAAGACAGAATCAGCCTTTGGCTTCCAGTGGGTGCGATTGCAATCCAAAGGCCAAGAAGCCTTTGGCTTCCACATACACATGCAGGAGTATATACATATACACACACACCATCCTCACACAGGTACACTTCATAGACACACACAATATAAAACAAATTCATAAAGACCCAATATCAAAAAATATACATGAAAAATGGTCAACATCACCAATTATAAGGAAATCACAATAAAGTATCTCCCTACTGTGGAAGAAATGGCTAATATAAAAATGCAAATATGTATCCAGGTGGTGGTGTTGCACGCTTCTAATTCCAGCACTTGAGAGGCAGAAGCAGGCAGATCTCTGAGTTCAAGGCCAGCCTGGTCTACAAAGAGAGTTCCAGGACAGCCAGGACTACACAGAGAAACCCTGCCTTGAAAAAAAAAGCAAACATATATTGATAAGGATATGAATAAAAGGGATTATTTATACAATGTTGATGGAGATGTAAATTAGGACAGCCATTGCAGAGATTAGTATAAACATTCTTCAACAAACAAACAAAAATACCATTATCACCCAGTAAGCATATTTCTGGGTATATACTGAAAGGGAGTCCTAGCATGATGTTGAATACAGATGTGTACACCCCCACATTCACTGCAGAGCAATTCACAGTAGCTAAGATACAGAAACAAAGCATACATCAACAGATGAACCATAGAGGACACACACTATATGGACAAAATCAAATACTATTCATTAAAACTTAAATTCCTTGATTTGCAACATGAATGACCTCAAAGAATAACATACAGAGAAAGCACCATGCATTATAAAATAAGAAAAAGTGTGTGTGTGGGGGGTGTTCATCTGAGCGTGTGTGCCAGACAGAGAGATGGGGACCAAGACTATATAGCCCTAGCTGGCTTGGAATGCTATGTGAACCAGGCCAGCCTCCATCTCACAGAGATCTGCCTGTCTTTGCCTCCAGGTTGCTGGAGTTAAAGATACCTATCAGCTTACCCAACACATTCAGAAAAATTATTTTTCAAGAAATAGAAAGTAGAGCAGCTGTTTCCTCAGTGAAGAGTGGAAGAGAAGGAATGTCGGAGGACTTGATAGTTATACTTGGATGGGAAAAACACTTCCTCCTGGTCTCTTACACCGGTGGTTCTCAACCCAGCTTATGCTACAACCCTTTAATACAATTCCTCATGTGGTGGTGACCCTAAATCATAAAGTATTTTCACTGCTACTTCATAAATGTAAGTTTGCTACTGTTATGAATTATAATGTAAATATTTGATATGCAACCCCCAAAGGTGTCACAGCCCATAGGCTGAGGACCTCTGCCTTAAATGATAGCATGACTCAGGCTAATGTGTTACCTTCCCAAAGTGTCTAGAAGAGATTCTCAATAGTCTTAGAATGAGAAATGACAAAGGTTTAGGAAAAATTATGCTAATTATACATTAACTACAAGGTTTATACATATTATAAAACTTCATGATTACTATGGATCTATTACAAATATTTTAAATACAGAACTCACAGAACCCCCAATACAATTGTACCAGAGAAATTCATAACTATGCACCCGAGCTGAAAGTTCCTACATGAGATGGAAACTGGAGGCAGGGGGGAGAGTGAAAGACGTCACGCAAACCACGACAGAGAACTATACTGTACATATGCAGCTCAAGATGAAACTAAGAGTCTATAAGACAAGAAGGTGAATAACTACAAAATAACTGTCCCAAAACTTCTCTTTAGAAAAAGATTTATTTTTATGTGCATTGGTGTTTTTGCCTATACATATGTCTGTATGAGGATGCCAGATCCCCAAGAACTGGAGTTACAGACAATTGTGAGCTGCCACGTGGGTGATGGGAATTGAACCCAGATCCCCTGGAAGAGCAGGCATCCTCTTAACCACCAAGTCATCTCTCCAGCCTGCCCCCCAAAAAACCTTGAAGTATCCACACTGAAGCCTTATACAGACACACTCACTCCACATTAACATATCTTCAGTTTCAACAGTTACATGAAAAAAAGCATACTTACTTTTGTTTTGTTTTTTAGGTAGTCTTACTCTACAGTTCAGGGCATACTTGAGCCTGACTAGGCCTAGGGCATACTTGGAATGACTACCTCACCTTAGCTACGCCTTTAAGTATGGTATTCAGGTATTAAAACATTACACCAGGCAGCAAACTCATTCTAGTAGAGAGTAATGTGTACTGCTTACGGAGTATCTATTACACTCTATTACCTTTCTGTGTGCTCGATTGCTTCACACAAATGTCAGAACCCTGTAAAGTATGATGCCTCACTAGTTGTCATCTGAGGAAACTGGATCAGTGATTTTGTTGAATTTCATGTCACTTATACAAATGAAAGGAAGAATTATTATCTTATTGTTAAGAAAAAAGAGTGCCTACTGTGGGGATGCAGCACCAGGGAGACAGAAATAGGTGGATGTCTGTGAGTTTGGGGCCACTTAGGTCTATAGACCAAGTTCCAGGACAGCAAGAACTACATAGTAAGACCCTGTCTCAGAGAGGGGAGGGGGAGAAGAGAAATGAAGGGAAGGGGGGTATAATATTCTAATTAAAATGTCTCTGTGTACCAGGCTTTCTTTGGGGTCACCAACAAGCCCCCAATCCATTACACAGAGACTTACTAGTTATGAATGCTAGGCCTTAGCTTATGCTCGTTTCTGGCTAGCTTTTTTTCTTAAACTTAAGTTAACCTGTTTCAATTCATCTACATTTACTTTGGGGACTCTTTACCTTTATTTCTGTATGTCCTATTCTGTGTCTGTCTGTCTGGAGGCTTCCTGGTTGGCCCAGGACATCTTCCTCTCTTTCTCCCTCATTCTCTCCTCTCTTCTCTCTCAACCCTAGAGTTCTCCTCCTACTTATTCTCTCTGCCTGCCAGCCTCACCTGTCCCTCTCCTGCCTAGCTTTTGCCCATTCAGCTTTTTATTAGTCCAATGAGGTGCCTTAGGCAGGCAAGGTGAAACAGCAACACATCTTTACATGATTAAACAATGCAGTGTAAACAAAAGTAACATTCCTTTACATAACTAGACAAATGCAGCATAAAAATGTAACATGCCTCTGTGTGGTGGTGGTGCACACACCCTTAGTCCCAGCACTCGGGAGGCAGAGGCCAGAGGATCTCTGTGAGTTCGAGGCCAGCCTGGTCTACAGAGCGAGTTCCAGGACAGGCTCCAAAGCTAAACAGAGAAACCCTGTCTCAAAAAATAAAAAAAGTAACATGCCTTTACATAGTTAAAGAAATATAGTTAAAGAAATATACCCCAGCACAAGCAAATCTAACACATCTTTGTGTCGTTAAAATTCTGTTCCACAACAGAATTCATCTCCCCTGATAATATGTGAGGATTCTAGTTAGTTATGATTTATCAACTCCTTTAAAATTAACAGTTTGCTAATTCTATATAGAATGCTTTAATTCTCTTCCCAATCATTATTCAAACAGACCTACAATTCTCCTAAAATTTACCATTAGTCCATAAGAGTTGGCACCTGAGTCTATATAAATGGACGGCAAACGTTTGTGTGCTTTGAAACCAAAAAGGTGATATGGGGGGGGGGGTCGGTCTGGTAAAGTTTTATAAATAACAATTCAAGATTCAGAATAATACGACACATTATTATACTCCTATAACCCTCATAATTTCTGGATAATTATTAAAAGGAATGAATAAAAGTTATTCATATAAAATAGTCTCTTCCAAATTCTTTAATATATGATGAAACTGGGAAAACGGACTATGAGTCATTCAATATATTTTCAATAGGTTTCTCAATACCCTATAAAGTAGGATCTGCCATCTGCATTCTTGAGCATAGTAGTTCAAGGTCTGTGACACAATGAGATGTCATTCAATATATGCCAGTGATAAAACATGAGAATCTTTATCTATTGATTAAAACAAAGTTCACATACAATCTATACAACATTCCAAAATCCACTGTGAAGAAAATAGATGGGATTTGATCAGTGCAATCTATTAGTTTCATTCCATTACAAATTGGTGTTCAATAAGGTAAATATATTTTGTCACACTCTTTCTTAAGTGTGCGTTTGTCTGTGTGGGAGTATGTGCATATGAGCACAGGTGCCCTTGGAGGCCAGAAACTGGTGCTGGATCCCCAGGAGCTGGAGTTATAAGTGGTTCTAAGCCACCAATATGGATACTGGGAACCAAGCTCCGTCTCCACAAAAACCGTGCATGCTCTTAACCACTGAACCACCTATCTATCCAGTTCCCTTTATCACATTCTTTACCTTTGTCACGATTCTTTGATTCCTTCATGTATGAGTCCTTTGATGACGAGTAAAATTTGAACAGTTGTTAAAGGTTTTCCCACATTCTTTGCATCTATAAGGCTTTTCTCCAGTGTGAATTCTCTCGTGCCGAGAAAGCGTAGAACTGTCCTTAAAAGCTTTGTTACACTCTTGACACTGGTAGGGTTTATCTCTGGTATGAGTTAGCTGGTGCCGATGAAGGTGTGAAGAACAATTAAACGATTTGCCGCACTCTTCACACCTATAGAGCTTCTCTCCAGTGTGAACCCACTGGTGTTGAATAAGGTGTGAGGAGCAGTTACAAACCTTTCCACACACTTTACATTTGTAGAGGCTATCTCTGGTATGCAATCTCTGATGCTGGTTAAAGTATGAAGAACAGTTATAGCCTTTGCCACATTTCTCACATTTGTAGAGCTTCTCCACAGTATGACTTAGCCGGTGTTTACTCAGCTGTGAAGGACAGTTAAAGGCTATACCACATTTCTTACACCTATAGGGCTTCTCTCTAGCGTGGATAGCCAGATGCTGGTTAAGTTGCGAAGAGCTGCTAAAAGCTTTGCCACAATCTTTACATATATACCACATCTCTCTAGTGTGAATTCTCAGATGCCGATTAAGGTGTGAAGAATAACTATAGGATTTGCCACATTCTTTACATGTATATGCAATCACTTCCTCATGAATTTTCCGGTGTCGGTTAAAGTAGGCAGAGCAGTGAAAGGCTTTGTCACACACTTTACATTTGTAGGGTTTCTCTTCAGCATGGATCATTTGGTGTCGAGTAAGGGTTGAAACATTATTGAAGGCTTTGCCACACTCCTGACAAGTATAGGGTTTCTCTCCTGTGTGGATTATCTGATGTCGAGTAAGGTTTGAACTATTATTGAAGACTTTGCCACATTCTTGACATTGGTAAAACTTCTCTCTTTTATGAGCCTTCTGTTGTTGATTAGAAGTTGTGTTAACAATAAAAGCTTTGGCACATGTGCTATGGTTGTGAGGTTTCTCTTGAACACGTAGACATGGATGGGTAGCAGATTCTGAGTGTCGAGTGAAGTCTTTCCCAAATTGGTTATATTTGTAGAGGTTCTCTGGAAAAAGAGTGCACTGATGTTTGCTACAATTTGAACCATGATTCCGTTGTGAATATTTTTGTACTAACAAATGTTTCTTCTTACTATAAATATCTTTATAATTACCTATGACAGGCACTCCTTGATAACTTTCCTATCATCATTACACATGAACAAAACTTTCACAATGTCCTTATTTGCATTTGGGTTAGGAATGTTTAACTGGATGCAGTGGCTCACATCTATAATACTGGCACTTGAAAAGCTGAGGCAAAAGAATTGCCATGAGTTCAAGGCTAACCTGAAGTACATAGAAAATTCCAGGGAAGCCTAGTCTACAGAATGAGACCCTACATTTAAGGAAGGGGTGACTCTTCCTATATTTATTAAATTTGTAGTTTTGGCACAAGGAAAACTCATTTATTAATGACAAAAAGAACCAGATCAATCACATTTAGAAATGTCTCACTCTCTCTCTCTCTCTCTCTCTCTCTCTCTCTCTCTGTGTGTGGGGGGGGTGGGGGGGTGTGGGTGTGATGTATGCCCTTATGTGTATTCAGAAAGGCCAGAGAAAGGTATGGGAGTCCTTCTCTAGCACTCTCTGCCTTTTTGTTTTGAGACAGAGTCTCTTCCAAATTGGAGCTTTGGCTTGCATCTAAGCTGACATTTGGCAAGCCACAGCAATCTTCCTATCTCTGCCCCTTTTAATGTTGCAATTACTGAGGTATATAGGAAGATACCCAACTTGACACCTGACAGCTGAGATCCAGAATCCAGTACTCAGACTTCAGCAGCAAGTGTTCTTACCCACTGAACTATCTCTCCCGCCCTCAGCTCTTCATTTTTTTAAAATAATTTATTTATTCTTATTTTGTGTTTTGCCTGCATGTATGTCTACATGAAGGTGTCAAGTCCCCTGAAACTGGTCCTCTGGAAGAGCAGCCAGTGCTCTCAACCACTGAGCCATCTCTCCAGCCCCCAAACTCTTCATTTTTCTTTCTTTCTTTCTTTTTTAAGATTTATTTATTATGTATACCATGTTCTGCCTGTATGTATCCATCCCTGCAGACCAGAAGAGGGCACCAGATCTCATTATAGATGACTGTGAGCCACCTTGTGATTGCTAGGACTTGAACTCAGACCTCTGGAAGAGCAGGCAGTGCTCTTAACCGCTGAGCCATCTCTCCAGCCTCAAACTCTTCGTTTTGAAAAAGTTTTTTACAGAAAGATTTGAAGAAATTTAATGCAATACTATATTTGAAATTGCTGAAGATATTAAAACACGAAATAGGATCTTTTAACCAGTTCCCAAATATTCTTTGAAAAATGTATTTCAGAGTATATATTTATTTATATAAATATATTGATCCTTAATAACTGCCATCAACTAAGTATTTCCTGGACTGCTCTATGTAGTAAAGCTCTGTTTGCAGTGACATTATTATGGACAGTTACTATTATTTCCAGTATACCAAACTTTCTAATCATCATATTCATCCCCACACTCCCATTCCTTCCTTAATGTAAACTGTCAAGGCTACAGTCTCCATTACCTTCTCCTGTTGACATTTTGAAAGGAATAGCTTTTACCCTGCACTCATGCTAGAGGGGGCAGGAATAGGAAGAGAAGGAAGAAGAACCAAAGATCATAATCTGATCTTGTGATAATGATAATAAAAATTTAAAAGATTTTAAATCTTCCAACATCATTCTTACTTCTTGGGAAAGAAAAAAATGAACATATTGTCACAGTTCTGGAATTCTTCGGGGATATCTGGGAACTGGTTTCTGTATATGCTGCCACACAATATAGAAGACTAATAGATATTTCAGATCACACCTCAGGAAAGGTGGCAAAAACTAAATGATTATTGCAATATCAAAGAGATGTCAGTAGCTTAGTCAGTGGAGGTAGGAGAGATTATAAAATCTTAAGAAACATGTTCAAGGGGCTGGAGAGATGGTTCAGCAGTTAAGAGCATTGGCTGCTCTTCCAGAGGTCCCAGGTTCAATTCCCAGCACCTGCATGGCAGCTCACAACTGTCTCTTAACTCCAGTTCTATGGGATCTGACACCCTCGCACAGACACACACACAGGCAAAACACTAATACACATAAAATAATAATAAATACACTTTAAAATGAGAAATATGTTCAAACTTTTCCAACAGGGAAAATAAAAATATAAGCCCAGAGAAAGCACACAACAAAAACAAATTTAGGGGCTCAAATAAACTCTAGCACAGCTGATGGGTGTAAACATTACCCATCCACAGAATAGAAAAAACAAGTATAGATTTTAAATTTGAATTGTTATTTATATCGTTAAAACGAATGTACTTTGCTATGTACATCATGAGGTTTTTAAATATATGACATCATTTTTGTGCTTCAAGCACTTTATATACCCTCTATTGGCATTTCACAAGAATGCAGTACATCAACCAGACTAGCTTGCTGTACAAGTAGTAGCTCGACTGTACTTGCTATGGTCAGTCAGATAAGCTCTTATTGTGCCTGAACAACATTATCCAACCCCTCTCCTGAAGTTAACACGACCCTTAATAGACACCATTATATTCTCTCTATATCTGAGATTACATTTAGAGTTCACATATGAATGAGACTGTGCAGTAATCAACTATCTGATTCTGGTTATTTTAGACGTGTCTCACATTGCACCAAATGATAAGATTTCATCTTTTGATGACTACGTGTGCTTTCACCCACTGAAGGAAAACTTTGATTTAATCTGTATCATGACTTTGACAATGTCACCCTAAACATGGCAGTAGAGATCTCTCTTCAGTGTGTGATTTAATTTTCTTTGGCCATAAATCCTGTAGTAAGATAGTCAGACTAAATGATGGTTCCATTGTTTTTATTCACTTATTTTCTTCATTTACTGTGACACTTGCTTATCAAATAGAGCTATGTCATTAGCAAAGTTTCTCTCTCAGGATATTTACAAAAGTAAATGGAAGTATAGGCTTTAATTTCACTTATTATTAATTTATGTTGTCCTAATGTATACAGTATTAAAAATTGCTAACCAATGATAATTTATAGCTTAAAAGCTAAAATTATTATCAGCTGGTGTGAAAGAACCAATTCTAAAATAAAGCACAGACCATGGAACTGAAAAACAAGAAAAAAAAATACATCATAAACTTCTTTATAAACTTCTTTTTTTTTTTTTTTTTTTTTTTTTTTTTTTTTTTTTTTGGTTTTCCGAGACAGGGTTTCTCTGTGTAGCTTTGGAGCCTATCCTGGCACTGGCTCTGGAGACCAGGCTGGCCTCGAACTCACAGAAATCCGCCTGCCCCTGCCTCCCGAGTGCTGGTATTGAAGGCATGCACCAACGCTCGCTGGTTTCCACGGTGTCCCCTCCGGCCTGGCCTGTTCAGGTGTCAAGGTTCCCCGGTCTCGGTTCCGGGCGTCCCACCGTCCTCAAAATGATTCTCCCAGCACCGAGCCCCGGGACTCCAGCAAGGAGATAAACAGCATCCACCTTAGTGACAGCCACACAAAGCCCGCCAAGCTGTGCTCCTCTCACGCCAATACCCCTGATTGGAACAGGATTCAGGCCTTTAGCTGTGAGTGACAGTGCGCGTTACCAATCTCAGACTGAATCAGGCCAGAATGACTGATTCGAGCTACACTTTCTTTAAGGCAAAAAAAGCCTCCTTATTGGCTGACAACCACCCAGAACATGAATATCAGCACTCCAAGCAGGTGGAAAGAAAAAGAAGCCCTAGCCCAATTAACCTCTTGCCTGTTGATAACCAAGAATTCCAGCACAATGAGAGAGAGAGAGAGAGAGAGAGAGAGAGAGAGAGAGAAAGATCCAGCACAAAGAACAAAATTTACTAAAAGGCTACCTACTTAAAGACAGTATACCTTTTATAGTAAGACCTTTTAAACGACTGTTATAACAATACACAGTAGAAAATAGACAAGAACATTTACAGAAATCAAAATGCTCCTTATTATAAATGCTAAAACAAGGAACATGCAGACGAAGGAAGGATTGATGTTGCTGAAAGGTGTGCCTCACGCTTTCTCTTTAAGTGCATTTAAAACAATGAGTATAGTTGTTTCTTAATAACATTTATATGTTACTTCTCTAGGCAGACATGCTTCTCACAATACTTGACAATGAGAAGAAATTACATCATAGTCATAATCACAAATTATGTTTTACTTACTAATGAATTAATAATTTATTCAGTAATTTGCATGGCATAAAGATCAACAAAAGGAATAACCTGGAAATTATTCACTGTACAATCTAACCATTATAATACCAAACCAATAAGCAGCCTAGATTGTTGCTTGCCAATATCTGTGTCCTAATGCACGGACTTCCCATTCTCGGGCACCAGGGAGCTGGGTGCTGGCCTCTTCATCCCAACTAAAGAAGTGTGCACTAGAACCTCCCTCCCTGTTGCTGTTGTTCCCAGCCTGGCTGTTTCCAGGGTCCTGAAGCACTCGAGTGCACATGTGAGCACATATAACCTGACATATGCATACACCCATGGACAATGAGAACTCATAAGCACCTATACATAGACTCTTGCATGTATGTACATGCAACCATGCCAAAGCACGTGGATCGCTATAAACACACACTGAGTATCTTCCATGTACGTGTTAACTTAATGAAGTAATGGGAATGTAGAAGAGTGATAAATTTTACACTGTGCTCTGAATTGAATAGGAAGTGTCCTCAACCAGCCATGTTTGGAATGATTGTTCTCTGGCTTATGGTGATGTTTTGGGACATGATGGAAACTTCAGACAGTAGAGGCTAGCTGGAAGATAGGGGCGCTAAGGATGGGATCTCTGTAGTGTATTATCCCTGGCTTCTTCCTGTTTCCAGCCTTCCATGGTGTGGACGGAACTGCTTCACCACACCTTACACATCATGAAAAGACTGAATTATTAAAAACCATTAGCCAAAATCTTTATTCTTGTAAGTTATCTGTGTCCATTAAGTTGTCCAAAGTGATGGAAAAGGGAGGTTTGTATGTATGTATATATGTGTACAGTGGTTTGAATGATATGTCCCCCATAGTCTCTGGCATTTGAATACCTGGTCCCCAATCGGTGTTGCATGGGGAAGCATGACTCAAGCCAGGAGTGTGAGCTATGAAGTGTGACCTTGCTGGAGGAAGTATGTTGGGTATTCAGAGTTTAATGGCTTGTGCCATTTTGAGTTGGTGATCCCCACTTGATTTGTGCTTCAAGATTGAAGCCCTTAGCGAATCAGCTCCAGCTGCCACGCCTGATTGTTGCCTCCTTTCCCCCACCCTGCGGCTGCTGACCTCTCAACCCTCTGGAACCAAAGCCCAAATTAAACCCCTCCCCCCTTCATTCCCTTACAATGGCACTCTACCACAGCAACATAACAGTAACAAAGATAGGGGCTAATGAAGGAAATTGGTACAGGAGAAGTGTGGCTGTTGAACTCAGCCTGACCATGAGGCTCTTAGGCCCTTCAAAGTAATTCGTGAAAGGAATTTGGAAGAATTTGAAGTTGTGGTCTAGAGAAGCCCTAGAATGTTTAACAGATGACTTTGGGGGGACAGCAGAATAACAAAACATCCCCCATAGGCTTGAGCATTTGAACACTTGGTTCCCAGTTGGTGATACCATTTGGGAAGATGGTGCAGTCTTGCTGGTGGAAGTATGTCACTGGAGGTGGGCTTTGAAGGTCATAGCCTCACACTGCTTCCAATTCACTCTCTGCTTTGGGATTAATGTTGAGGATGGGATCTCTCAGCTTCCTACTGTGGCCACCATATCTGCTGGCTACCATGCTTCCTTACCCTGATGGACACTTAGTCCTCTGAAAATGTAATTTAATCATAAATAAACTTTTCCTTCTATAAGTTGCCATGGTTATGATATTTTATCACAGTAACATAAAGGTCTATAGTATAGACGGCTCATGAGATTTTTAGATGGGAATTGTGTTGGGAATTAGACCAAAGGCCATTTATCTTAACTTGAAGACTTTGTATATATCTTGTTCACATTCTCAAACTTTGTGAGTGTCTGAGTTTAATGGTGTTGAACTAATTAAATTTGCCAGAGAAAATTTCAAGATAGCATAACATTCAAATGTGGTATGATTATCAATGACTGCTTTTAGTCAGGTAGACAGTGAGAATTCGGAAGAAGAAGAAGAAAAATAAAAAAACAGAGCACAATGATTTGAAAAACATGGTGCTTAACCAGAAAAAGTTCAAATTAAAATCATGGACACGAAAATTTTATTGTTAAGGAGATAATTTGTGCCTGTTGAAGAGACGCCAAATACTTTGTTTGGGCTAATAGGAAATTGGCCAAATGCCACCTACCTTAGGTTCCAGGACATCAAATAGTAAACTCATTTAAAAAGAGAAGAGAGCACCACTGGGGCACCGTGCTACCACAAGGCCACCCAAAGAAGTGTGCTCCTGGGTTCAGGTTCCCATGCCCTTAGAAATTGCTGTAGCACTGCTCCAAGAGTGAGTCTACTGCACCGCTGGTAGTTGACTATGACATCATCCACAAGGTGCTGGTTTTGTAGATACCCAGGGTCACTACAGTTCCCACTGGGAATTTTAAGGAAGGGCTTAGAAGCCAGGCAATGTGTAGCAGGGTCAAACTGACTACAGAAGAGAACAGTGAATGAAGCTAAAATTCTAGCATTGTGATGAATGTACTAATACCAGTATTTTGGAGGCAGAGCCAGACAGATCTCTACTTTTGAGGCTAACCTGGTCAATTTAACAAGTTTCAGGCCTTCTAGGGATATATCATGAAACCCTATCACACAGAAAGGGGGCGGGGCTATAACTTCAAAGCATCAATGTTAGAGATGCTAGGAACAAGAAGTGCTTTCTGAGTAAAGATGTAGGGAATAAACAAAGCCAGCCTAAGAGAGAGGCCATGTGGCAAGGCCACGGAGATAAGGCTGCCCACACCCGTTGGAGTTCGGATGACCAGTATGTGCCCCAGATGCAGAACATGGAGCTTGTCTTGCTGGGTTTCAGTCTTGATTTGGTCCAATCCTTCCGTTCTATGCTCCCAACTTCTCTTTCTAAAGAGGTTTGACCTCTGGTATCTTATCTTTGATATTCAAAACAGCTAGGAGTTTGTTTTCAGACACAAGAGACTTTGGACTTAGACTTTGGAAAAATGTGAGAACTGATACAGCTTGGGAACATTTGTAAATAGAGTAAAGCCATCTTGTATTATGAGATAGCCGTACCATTTTGGTTCACTGATATAATGCTGTGGCTTTGATATGAATATGAAAATTTCACTATATTCATGCTTTCAATGTTTGGGACTTGGTGATATTATTTGGGGAGATCGAGCCAGCTTTAGGAAATGTGAGGCAACTGGAAAAAGTTGGCCACTGGGACTGTATCTTAGCCACTTTCTGTCTTGATCTCTATTCCAACCCACCATGCTGTAAACTGAGCTGTCCTAGTTAAAATAGGGATTTCTCATTAAGTTACTTATATAAAGTAATTTGGTAAGAGGGGTGGAAAAATCACACACACAACATGAATTTTATTGATTTTTATCTTTTATATAACATTGTCAGTTCTAATTTTAGAAGCACTGCATTAAGATTAAAGAATGACACTATAAAAGCATTTCATCAATATAACTCACAGCCCTGTCAAAAAGCAGTAATATACTATATTATGTTTGAAAGTCAATTATCTAGCTTAGTAGTGGTGGTACACTATCCCAGCACTCAAGAGACAGGCATGTGGCATTCAAGGCCAGCCTGGTCTACAGAGTGAGTTCCAGGACAGCTAGAGATACACAGATAGCCGAGCGTTGGTCGTGCACACCTTTAATCCTGGTACTCAGGAGGCAGAGGCAGGCAGATCTCTATGAGTTCGAGACCAGCCTGGTCTCCAGACCCAGTGCTAGGATAGGCTCCAAAGCTACACAGACAAGCCCTGTCTCAAAAAACAAAACAAAAAAAAAGATACACAGAGAAACCCTTTCTCAAAAAATAAAAAAGTCAATTATCTAAACTAAACTATCCATGAATATAACTCAGGAAACACATGACTACTGGAATTACTTATTCAACTAATAGTATCCACTGTGCTTTAAGAATTGTCCTAAGCCTAGGAATTAATATATAAATTATCAGAACAAAGATCTTTGCTCTTATATAATTGCCACTACATTATATATGTATTATATTTCTTTCTCATCCCATTTGTAAGATGACTTACCAACATATATGAAATGGATTGTGGATTTGTTTCTCTTTCTCATCACTATAGAGATAAGACTTCTCCGTGAAGATATTGTAAGTATAAATTATAAATTATTTTGAGAGCATATAGTGCTGGCCTTAAATGTTGCATTCGAAATGGAGGCAATATTAAAATTTCATTAAAGTGTACTTTAATCAGAACTATTAATAAAGAATTGATCCAAATGTGGTGAAGTACAGAGACAAAGTCCATCAAAGGTTGTGTTGTAATAGGGACAAGTCATGATGAAGGGACAACCACAGTCACATCAGAAACTGGGGCTGGAGAGATGATTCAGCAATTAAGGCTAGGCTTGAAACCAAAACATCAAATAAGTAACTGACAAAAAAACATTTTAAATTTTAAAACGCCTCAGTCTATAAAATAAGAAGGGAGTTTTAAAAAAAACAGAAGAAAAAAAAACATATCCCATACTGTACACTTTGATGATGTTTTAGCATCTAGCCAAAATCTTTAAGACAATATTATCACTATAGTCTGTTTATATCTAGATTTTGAATCTTTCATTTTATACTTCTACAAGTCTGACACCAAAGCATAGAGGAGTTCTAATCAAAACACATGCTTCATTTCAACTAAAATTATCAAGAATTTCTATCAATAGAATTTGGTAAAGGAATAACCAATAATTAACCTTTTATAACAATACATTATGCCTAGGCATCCTCAAGAAAAATTCAATAGAGCTAGGCATGGTGGTTTATGTTTATAATCCCAGAACTCAGGAAGCTGAAGCAGAAGGATTGCTGCTCAAGGCCAGACCTATCTCACAAAGAGTTTCAGGACAGCTAGGGCTATATAGTGAGAACCGGTCTTGAAAGAAACAACAAAACACACACACAAAGTAAAAAACTCTAAGGAGACACAACTGTAAAAATCACTATTGGAGTAAAAGGCACATCTATGGTAAAGGAATGTCCACTGTCTGATCATAACTGTCTATAGTATCTATATACTTCTTGGCTATTTTGATTAATAAAATATTTACTGGGTACTATTGAGTGCTCCTTTATGTTGCAACACCTAACAAGATACACAAAGTATCTTTCTCCTGAGTATTTGACACTCTAGTGGAGAATGACACACTCTAAACAATTTTTTGAAAACATTAGAATTCCAGATGAAGTTAAATGCTGTGAAGACTAGCTCACAGATATGAGTGGAGGATAATGGGGCTCTAAGTCAGCCGCAATGGTAAGGAGAGATCATTTCTTACGATCTTTGTCCTTCTTTACATTGGCGCACACCTGAGCCTGTGACGTCTCAGAGGCAGTCTTCGTTTTATAAAAATCTATTATTTGCTCCTCTAGTTTTCTTCTCTCTTCTTCCAGTTTCAGGATCTCCTCTTGTTGGATTCTCTTCAGGTGTTCAAACTTGTCCTGCAGCTATAAAAAGAAGAAGAAGCAACCCTGGGGTCACAAAGATTCTCGAAATCCAAAAGTCAGAGTATGACCCAATAAACACTTATTTAAAATCCTTGAACTTCTACTAGGAAGATGGAAGCCCTTAAAAGGAGTCAAGGGCCAGGTGATGGTGGCGCATGCCTTTAATCCCAGCACGTGGGAGGCAGAGGCAGGCAGATTTCTGTGAGTTTGAGGCCAGCCTGGTCTACAAAGTGAGTTCCAGGACACCCAGGTTGTTACACAGAGAAACAAACAACCAAAAAACTAATGATTGAATTCATAACTAAGTGGAAATAATAGAATTAATGAAAACTGAAATTACAATATAAAGAAGTTTTCAAAAGAATGCTCAGGATATGTCCGGGGAACCCTTTGCTAAAGAGATTAATATAGTTAGAAATCGTTATATTCATGAATACAATGGAGAATGGCCTTGAGGGGTTTTGGAGGTCTTCGAGGCAAGCTATCTGGACCTCAGGATTCACTGCTGTGTACTGCCACAGTACTCCTTAGTAACCCCAGGCAATATCAAGTGGGAGCAAGTATGGCTGCATCTGATGCTCTAGAAGGTACAAATTATAAATCTTGGGTTCTGTGGCATGATGCTAATTCTATGAGCATACATAAGGCAAGAGCTGTGAAGCCAAGAAGTCACCACATAGATTTCAAAAGATACCATAGTTAGCCTGGGGGGCTCTGTCACAGAATCATAGCTACTATAGAGGTACTCCACTTAGGACAATGCCTTTAATCCCAGCACAATGGAGACGGGGCAGCTGTAAACAGAAGAGGCACTGGGTGAACAGAGAGGGAAGTCAGAGACATGGGGCATTTAAAAAGCAAATTCTCAAAATGCTCAGGGGAAAAATATCATTTCAGCCTATAATTTCATAAATGCTATCTTATGATTCTGTGTATGAAGCCACTGGCAGTGGGTCCAAGATCTAACTCTAATGCACAAACTGACTTAGTGGAGCCGGTTCTATATGGAGAGACACCTTGCCCAGCCTAGACACGGGGATGTGGGGGTGGAGAGGTGCCCTGGTCCTGCCTCAACTTGATGATGGGACAGACTTAGTAGACTTCCTAGGGGAGGCCTTATCCTCTCCAAGGAGCATATGGAGGTGGGGTGTGGGGGAATGGGGGAGAAATGGGGGGGGCGGGAGGAGGGAGGGAGGGAGAACTGGGATTGGAATGTGAAAATTCAATTAATAAATTTAAAAAATTGTCAAAAGATCCTGTGTAGCTGGGCATTGGTGGCACACGCCTTTAATCCCAGCACTCGGGTGGCAGAGGCAGGCAGATCTCTGTGAGTTCGAGACCAGCCTGGTCTACAAGAGCTAGTTCCAGGACAGCCTCCAAAGCCACAGAGAAACCCTGTCTCCAAAAACCAAACCAAAACAAAACAAAACAAAACAAAACAAAATCCTGTGTATGAATAGCTGCTCTTACAGAGATGGAAAGTTTCTTCCAAAATAAGAATGCACTGGAGTTCATCCCCCAGAGACTAGGACACAGAGAATGGACACGAGGTTGGTAGTACATGCCTCCTTTTCGGCATCCTTGAAGGTCAGTTCCTTCTCTTTGACTCGCAGCATGAACGTCTGCTTCAGTTCTTCCTCCTCCCTCAGACACTGGCCATGGAACTCTTGTCTTTTGGCTTCATACATCTCTTGGAAACTAAAAGTGAAAGTTCTGTCATTCTTATACTTAAGACGATAATAAAGGGCCGGTGAGATGGCTCAGCAGGTAAGCGTTCTTGCTATAGTGCAAAAATACCTGAGTTAATCCCCAGGACCCATGCAGTAGGGAAAGCAAAGTCCTGAAAGTTGCCCTCTGACCTCTGGATGGGTGCACACATGCAAAATAAATAAATACAATTTTTTTAAAAATTATTTTAAGTGATACTTTGGATTGACATGATATATATATATACATATATATATATATATATATATATATATGCTTCTAAATTGACATTCACCAATATCCTATGTAGCAACAGAACACATTTCTGTATGTTGAGGTGTAAAAATTGGAACATATTAATTATGTGATTATATGACCACTAAAATTCCAAATACCTATATCAGTGATTCCTTGCTCCCAAAGTTGATATATTATTCCCATAGGGTTTTTTGTTGTAGGTTTGGTTGGTTTGTTAGTTTTATTTTGTTTTTGAGACAGGGTCTCACTCTATAGCTCTGGCTGGCCTGGAACTTGCTATGTGGAGCAAACTGTCCTCCAATTTACAGGGAGCAAACTGTCCTCCAATTCACCAGCCTTCACCTCCCAAGTGCTGGGATTAAAGGTGTACGCCACCACATCTAGATGTCCTATGTTTGGACAACAACATCTTGGGGAAACTCTGAGGTAAGAGACTGTTTTCAAAATAATTCAAATAAAGCAAGCAAGGCATCCTTTAAAATATAATCACTTAACATAGTTCAGGACTGAGAAGATGGTTCAGTACAGTGGTTCCTAACCTGTGGGTTGTGACCCCCATGGGGGTCACATATCAGATAGCCTACATGTCATATATTTACATTATGATTCATAACAATAGAAAATTACAGTTATGAGGTAGCAACGAAATAATTCTATGGTTGGGGGTTACCACAACCTAAGGAACTGTATTAAAGGGTGGTAGCATTAGGAAGGTTGAGAACCACGGGTACAGTTGATAAAGTGGTTGCCAACACACACACACACATACACACACACACACACACACACACACACACACACACACACGGGATATGAGTTTAGGTCCTCACAACCCAAATGAAAAAAATCAAAGTTGGGAACAGCAGTACATGCCTATAATCCCAGGGCTGGAGAAACAGATTCAAGAAGGACTCCTGTGGCTCAATGGCCAGATGCCTAGCCAAATCTGCAAACTCCAGGTTTAATAAGAGACCCTGTCTCAAAAAAGTAAGACAAGGAGTGACTGAGAAAAATTTCAAAATGGACTTCCGGCTCCCAATGACAACACTCTTCACCTGGGCTCCCTTTCTGGAGCAAGTTGCATTCCCAAACACTTAGTGGATGGTTGCAATTTTAGACAGTAATGGTGTGTGTGTGTGTGTGTGTGTGTGTGTGTGTGTGTGTGTGTGTGTGTGTTTAATACATATGTATAGGTATTGCATCTCTCCAGGAAAAAAATCTATCTCACAATACACATACACACGCACATATACGAAGATGGTTCAATTTTGGTTATCTCCAGAAAACCATGACTGCTACAACATGAACATATTCCAACAGTACTGTCCAAGCTCTTGTAGCCAAATGTTATTACTGTGATGTAAATGTTCTGTTCATAGGTTTTTCACCTGACTTCCAGCACTTTATATAACTGCTTTTCAATGTTTTCCAGCAAGCTCTTCTCAAAATCCTCGTCAGTTTTATTAGTAAATGCCAATACTCTGTTTTGCATAAAAACAAATGTTTTTAAATAATAATGTTTTCCCTGGAGTTCACAGTTCAAAACATGCAATACTGGACACACCAGCATATAAATGAGCCCTTTCATGATGTCTCTCTCCATCTACAGCCAAAACTCTTAAAAACCTAGAAGTTCAATGAGCCATATCCTCTCATGCTTGAATGAGCATGCCTTGTGGTTTTAAGGACATCCTAAAGGATCAATTTATATGTAAGAGCAATTTCTTTTTTAAGATTTGTTTACTTTTAATTTTATATGTATGAGTGTTTGTTTGCATGCATGTCTATGTAGCTTGTGTAGACCAGATGCCCATAGAAGCCAGAAGAGGGCATTGGATCCAATAGAACTGGAGCTTCAGATGATTGTGAGACATCATGAGGTCCTGGGATTTGAACCTGGGTCCTCTGCAAGAGCAGCAAGCACTCCTAACTAACTACTGAACTATCTCTCTAGCCCAATAGCACTGTCTTCACTCACCTCACTGGCTGATTGTTGGGGCCGGTGTCATTGAAGCCCAGTTTCTGCAGTCTACTGCTCCTGTAGCATTCGTAATGCTGAGTGTGGGTTTGATCTTTCAGATCTTCCATATTAGTACACAGAAGCAAATCCCGGAGCTTCACAAAGTCACAGTGATTCTCATTTTCCACTAGTCAAAAAAAATCATAAATTCATCATGGAGGATTTCTGTTATTAGTTGGTAAATAAGCTTTCTACCATTTTGGTTGTTCTCAATCCAAATATTTTGCTCTTTTATAGTGCTGTCTCCAACTTTTCCTCATTCATTTCCATTTCCATCTCTCTCTCTCTCTCTCTCTCTCTCTCTCTCTCTCTCTCTCATGCATATCTAAAAAACAAAAACTTTGAGCTCACCAATTATTTCTCCTATTGATTTAGCCTGTGTGATACCTGATCTTGGTTTCAACCTAACACACCAGGGAAGGGGAGCCTGAATAGACAGGTTACCTCCAATCAGGTTAGTCTGTGGGCGTGTCTTTAGAGCATTTTCTTGATTGCTAATTGTTGTAGAAAGGCCCAGCTCACTGTGAGCAGTGCCATCCTGAGCAGGTGGATCTAGGTGGTAGGCACTAATCTTTTCTTGAAGGCACTAATATGTATTCTTCAGTTTTGTTAAAGTGAGCCCCAGCATTCTGAATGGCATATTTCAGTAAGACAGAGACCATGTGCATGTGACACATTGGTTAACAAGGAGACCTTACAGGTGATGGAGAAAGTGTATGTGTTTGTCTTACTGGATGACAAATAAAATACTATTTAGCCAATGAGGCAGCAAGTTAGGCAGGACTAGGAGTCAAAGAGGATTCTGGGAAATGTAGTAGAGAAGTGGTGATCCAGGCAGGAAGTGACATAGCAGGGAGACTCATCTTTAAGGAAGGACAACCAGGAAGTACCCGCTTTTCCCCTCCACTCTTCCTTCAGTGGCACAATGTGACCCACCAGCAAGGAGGGACACCAATGGAAGTGTCCGATAAGATAAATCTTATAAAATATATAGATTTATGATAATTAAAACTGAGCTAACAGATGAGTATCCTAGTCATTGGCCAGGCAGCATTTGAACCTAATACAAGTTTCTGTGCATTAATTAGGGCCCTAACTCAGGCTGATGGCTGGTGTAAAGCACACACATGGCGGTGGGGCTCGGTGGCCTTTGGCGGAAAGATTTATCGTAACACGTAGGTGTGGGTCTAAGTCAGCTTCTGGCAAAATCCTACAGCGATGGCTCTCAGCCTGTGGGTCACAACCCCCTCGGGAATCTCATGTTATCCATAGTGGATAACTATGATTCATAACATAACTATGATTCATAACATAACTATGATTCATAACTACGATTCATAACAGTAGCAAAATTATGGTTCTGACATAATAAAGAAACAGTTTTATGGTTGGGAGTCACCACACATGAGGAGTTAAAGGGTCCCAGCATAGGAAGGTTAAGAACAACTGTCCCATAAGAAGGGATCATAGTCACTGTAAGTGGAAGCTTAAACCAAATGTAATCTGTGTTCCTCATTAGCAGCTATTGAGCTACAAGCTAGCTAGAGTTACCAGCACTGGCTCAGATCCAAATGCTATTTGAGAGTATGGATGTCACAATATCTCCTGGGTTTAATCATCAGGAAACACAATCTCATACTTACCTTGCAAAACTCCCCAAGGGTAATGACGGCCTTTGACCATCCTTTTCCCAACCTTCACCTCCTCCATACTTCCTACTACCGCAAAAGGTAATAGGCACTAAACAAATAAAAATGATACAAGTTAAACTCCCTTCAAACACTATGGCTTACTATATTGCTCTTTTTCTGAGATAGAAGGGACAAAGGCAAGGCTAGTATAATAAATGTGTTTGACTACACAAATAATCTATCATGTCAGATTTTTGTACCTAGCAGAAAATATGTACTAATTACCTTTTTTATAAGCATTAATCTCAGGCTGACATATAATTACAAACTACCTACCTAGTAGTGTTACCTTTCCTAAAGCAAGGCACCATGATGCGTGCAGTACAAAGATAAAAAAGATTGTTAATACACATAATTTTCTCATATTATCTTTATACTAAACACAGAGACAATATTGCTGAGTTGATATGAAAACTATTGTAATGATAGTATGTAAGTTAACAGATGAAACTATTAAAATATAAATTAAGCTGGGCATAATGGTACATGCCTTTAATCCCAGCACTCAGGAGGCAGAAACAGGTGAGTCTCTCTGAGTTTGAGTCCAGATTGGTCTACAGAGTGAGTTTCAGTGCTGCCAGGACTAAAAAGTGAGATCATGTCTCAAAGAAATAATAACAATAAATAAAAATTATAGTTAATTGATACACTGCATAAAATATGCTAACAAACAATATTATGTGTGTCCTCAGGAGGGCTATGGTGATACCTTCAGCAATAAAGTGCTTGCTATATGAACATGAGGACCTGAGTCTGATCCCATATGAAAAACCAGGCATGAGCCAGGGAGTGCTGGTGGCACAACCTTTAATTCCAGCACTCAGGAGGCAGAGGGAGGTGGATCTCTGAGTTCCTGACTGACCTCTTCTACAAAGCTAGTTCCAGGACTGCCAGGACTATACAAGGAAAACTTCTCTTTAAAAGAAGACAGAAAAAAAAGAGAAGGAGGAGGAGGAGGAAAGGAAGGAAGGAAGGGAGAGAGAGAGGGGCGATGGGGGAGGCAGGGGGGAGGGGAGGGAGGGAGGGAGGGAGGAAGGAAGGAAGGAAGGAAGGAAGGAAGGAAGGAAGGAAGGAAGGAAGACTGGGGATGAGGCTGAGCCATCAGTTGCTTCCTTGCCTAGCATGTGTGAAGCTCAGAGTTCAATCCAAACTACTGCAAAAAAATCAATTTAAATGTATCACAGTGCTGACTGGAGTCTGGGGAGTGGGTAAGTTAGGGGCCATAAAGAGAGGCTGAATAATGACTATATTAAGACAGATGGGTGGACTAATTTATGCTACTTCACAGCATAACAGGAAATACAGTGGAATAGAAAAAGAGAAACCAAGGAACCCTTGTAACTTACAATCAAAATGAACAAAGAATCTGAATAGTTGCTTCTCCCCAGGAAGACAAAAAGTATACATAAACCTATGAAAAGACATTCCACATCTGTAGTCATCCAAAATGAAATCAAAAAAGTGGGATCCTCTCATACTAAGTAATGTAGCCAAATTTTTTAACATTATATATAGTATGAATTAAAACAAAGAAATTAAAACCAAAACTCCTGGGGCAGGTGCTTTTGGAATCAATACAACAAATGATATAGTTATCATATGATCCAAGAATTCTACTTCTAGATGCACACATCCAGGAGAAATTAAAGTATATACCATCACAAACACTTGTATAAAAAATATTTATAATAATAACATTCTTCATAATACTCAAAATGTGGAATAAACCTAAATATAGTATATTCACACAATGGTATCTAGGCACACACACACACATACACACACACACATATGAAATCTTATATTATCCCAACTGAAGTCAACAGATAAAAAAAGATCACATGTAATTCATCACATGAGATATCTAGAAGAGGAACCCACATAATAAAAAATACCTATAATACACATAAATAGGTGCATAAATTTATACATCTAGCTTAAATGGTATTTTTCCATCTGTACTGACAATGGTGCCTCCATGACACAAAGACCATCTAACCAAAAAACAACACCAGGCATGAGAAACCCTCTTTTGAGTTGTTGGTAAAGCAATTCCCAAAACATTACAGGCGATTACTGTTGCCTTTGGTTGGCCATAAGAGGTGGAATAAAAGTCCTTAGGGCTGAAGACACCATGCATTTCAGATGTCAGGTCCAGAGTCCCCTGTGCTGGAACAGACCTCTAAAAGCCTCTTCCCTGAAGACTGGCTTTTAAGGTTCCAGAATATGCCTTTTGAGCTTCCAAAGGAGACAGGCAACCAACAGTTCTGCCCAGCTACGATGGCTATGAATCACAATAATAATCAGCATGGAACAGTAACCCCAAGAGTCAGTAGTGGCACACATACCTTGGCAGTAACCAACGGTTCTCTAATTAGAGGTAAGATCTGATTAACAAGAGGGAAATCATGCCTGGTACAGAAACCCAGCCAACCAACCAGAGCCAGCGAAGTCATGGATCTTGGAGGAGAACCTATAACTACCTGTAGGGGAAGCTGTAGCCACGCCTTCTTAGGGGCTGGCTACAAGAGTACCTGAGGGCTTGTGAGGGCGTGGTCAGAGTGAGTAGGGGGACTGCGTTTTCGGTTTTGGTCTCTCTTTGCTTCTTGCTGTACAGACTACCACCGGCTGGCTGGTCCGCTCTGTAAGTAAGGCTTTTCCCTATTAAATACCCTTATATTTCTACCTGACTCCGTATTGGTAATTGGTCCGCTCTGTAAGTAAGGCTTTTCCCTATTAAATACCCTTATATTTCTACCTGACTCCGTATTGGTAATTGGTCCGCTCTGTAAGTAAGGCTTTTCCCTATTAAATACCCTTATATTTCTACCTGACTCCGTATTGGTAATTACCTACTATAACTACCACTTTACTAAGCCAGCATAATCCCTAACTATGATCTCAATATTTGTCCTTAGACCCACAAATAAGTGTAGTCCTCACCCCTCATCAAGGAACTTCTTTTTGCAACAGAGACTGTTACAGAAAATCATAGCAAGAAAGCAGATTGTGGAGTCTGGTCCCAACAGATACATTTACAGTACCCTCAAGCCTAAGGGTCGGGGACCACTGGAGGGAGATTGGAATGATTATAAAAGCCAGAGAATTGGGGAGTTTGCCATAAGACTGTGTCTCTTAGGGATGTCAGAAACTATACCCAGAAAGTCTCATCAACATGAGTACTTGAACATGAGCTGAACAAGGAGCACAGGAGATAAGCTAATGTGGAGTGGGGACCCCAGGAGGCCTCAACCCTACACAAAGACCTCTGGACAACTAATGCATCCTGAAAGCGGGAAGAAGTCTTCCCCAGGGAAGAGCACACCAACTTTTTCTCCAATACCAAATGGTCAGCCCCTGAAAACAAATGCACAGTGTATTTATATACTTAAGAATATATACATATCTGTATCTGTATATGGTGGATATGTGTATGTATATGTATGAGAATACAACTAAAGAAGAAAGAGGCCATGCATTTGAAAAAGAGCAAGGAGGGTTTGAAGGGAGGAAAGGAAAGGGGGAGTGGTGCAATTATATTATGATCTCAAAAAATAAACACTTTTTTAAAAAAGATACAATAGCGATTATTCAGAACCTGAGAGGTAGGCAGAGCAAGAGGTGAACAAGTATATGAGACTTTCAGTTGTTTGAGACATCATGTCCTTGAACTCACTATGGAGCTGAGGATGAACCTGAATTCCTGGTCCTCCTGAACTATCTTGCAAATACTAGGAATACAGTCGAGTACCACCTATAATCTGGCTAAGGTATATTTTTGAAGAGATGAAACTATTGTACAACTGTCCACTGAGATAAATGCATGTTTCTGTGAATACATTAAAACTACTGAATTTAAATGATTAATTGTGTGGTATTCACATCTTAGTCTAATTAATTAATACTAAAATCTAAATCTATTTTTGTTTGTTTTGTTTTGTTGACACAAGAGTCTCACTATGCAGCATTGGCTTGCCTCAAAGTCAGACAAATGCTGGGATTAAAACTGTGTGCCACCATGCCCAACTTAATTTTAAAAATAAATCTTAATAAAGCTACTTAAAGAAAATAACTTGAATCTTAGCATGTAAGAAGAAGCCAAACTGAAGACATTTTGAATAAAACTTCCATCTTGAATAAGTCAAGTAAAGTTTAAGTTCCCAAGACCGTCCCAGACCTCCTTGGTGAAGGACACCCTGGCTGGCAAGGTGATACTTAAGTGAGGGGCAAGCCGCTCCACCCTACTTGAGTGAACCAAACAATGAGAATAATAAGATAAGTGTACCACAGAAAATGTTCCTAGGTCAGGAGGCAGAGGCAGGCAGATCTCCATGAGTTTGAGGCCAACCTGGTCTACAGAGTGAGGACAGGCTCCAAAACTACACAGAGAAACCCTGTCTCAAAAAACCAACAAAAAAAGGAAAGAAAGAAAGAGAGACAGACAGACAGAGACAGAGGAAGGAAGGAAGGCAGGAAGGCAGGAAGGAAGGAAGGAAGGAAGGAAGGAAGGAAGGAAGGAAGGAAGGAAAAAAGAAAAGAAAATGTTCTTAGGGAAGTCTTTAATCCTTGAATCCTGTTTGGTGAAAGCTGTAACCTGACTTGGCACAGAGTCCATACTGTTGTCCCTGACCTGTCAGTTTCTGCCATGCTGCCCAGTCTGAAAAAACCTTGCACCTCTTGTGTCTGCTTGGATTGTTCTGGAGCCTCAGACCCACAACAGTAAACATGTTTTAAAATCAAGAAATTAAATAGTTGGGGATATAGTTCTGTTGAGACAATGCTTGCCTTGCAAGCACAAAGTCCTCAGTTTGAACCCCAAGCACTACCTAATCCAGGCCTGGTGGCACCTAATCTGTACTCAGGAGATGGAATTTGTTTGGGTCAGCCTCATCTATGTAGTAAATTCAAGCCAGCCTGGACCACATGAAACCCTGCCAGGGAAGGACTGAAAGGATGGAAGGAAAGGAGGGAGGAAGAGAGGGGGAGAGGGAAGTGAAACATTTCCCCCACAATGTATTTTGAGGAAAATGTATTGTTTATTGTCTCTTGTCTGACACAAATGACAATAAAGTGCAGATAATATTACAAACCGTACTTGAGTCTCCCATGTGAAAGGGAGTTCACGATCAGTAGACAAAGCTTACATTTATTGAGGGAATTTACTTGAGAATTGTCGTCGTCCTCTTCATCTATGGGGAACTGATATATTTGGATGCCGTTGCTGACCAGCTCGCTCATTATGTTACTCTTGAACTTCTGGAGGTCCATCTTGGAAAGTGAGTCTGCTTTGGCAATCAGTGGTATGATGTTCACCTGTTAGAAGGGAGGAAGTCAAATTTCACTATTTTTCAGTCTAAACCCTACACCTGGAAAAGAACGTGCTCGTGGTTTGTTGTTGCTGCTGTTTTAACAGGATCTTTGCCAGCATTCGGTGAAGAGTGCTGGGGTTGCCCACAGGTGTGCCCCATCACACTCAGCCACAGAGAGTTTTTGTTTGGGGGAGTGCTGAGGATTAAAACCTCAAGCCTTGAATGTTCTAGATAAATGTTGTACCCTGAGCTCCATCTTGAGCCCTCATTGTTTATCAGAACTCAGGTTTAGAGGCCTTGACCTTGTTTCTTTTCTAAAATCTCACGCCCCCAATGCCTCTGGAATTAGCATAATTTAAGCAGTAGGAAGCAGTAGTCAGATTACTTATCAAACTGAATGACAAAAAGATCTCTCATCAAAATGTTGGGAGAGAGAGTTTTTCTCCTAGCCATCATTCATGTAACCAGATTAACCAATGTCCCTCTTCCATTCGACCCTGCACGACCCTGCCTGCAATATGGTATGGATGAATACATATCAGCTTTATGTCAGTTGCGTTTATTCTAGAATTCTCAGGGCATGTTTTTTCAAATCCTTGGGCAAATCTCATGTTTTTCCAAACATTTATGCTAAGCCAGAAGGAAAAAGATCTAATAAATGACTATAAAATTTAATCAAATGAACAAAATTTAATCTAAACTTGTGAGATGTATATATGTACACACACATACACACACACATGTATATAAATACCTATTTAGTTGACCTTCTATGAGAATACATGCTTATGATAAATTCAAGCAGTGAAGGAATGTATAAGGTTAGAAATGAAAGTATTCTAGCACGAGACTCTGAGAAAATACAACAGTTTAGAGTGTGTCTTTATGCAACTATATTATAAATGGTATTTTTAAAACTAAAAACTTGAGCTAGGCGGTGGTTTCGCACACCTTTATTCCCGTACTCAGGAGGCAGAGGCAGGCAGATCTATGTGAGTTTGAGACCAGCCTGGTCTACAGAATGAGTTCCAGGACAGCCTCCAAAGTCACACAGAGAAACCCTGTCTTGAAAAACAAACCAAATAGAAAAAAATTAAAAACTTAATGGTCTCAGACTGGAGAGATGGCTCAGAGGATACGAGCACTGGCTGCTCTTCCAGAGGTCCTGAGTTCAATTCCCAGCAACCACATGGTGACTCACAACCATTTGTAATGAGATCTCCCTCTTCTGGCCCGAAGGGATACATGGAAGATATAATAAATAAATACACTCCCCCCCCAAAAAAAAGCAGCCATCTGCAAGCCAAGAAGATGGATACTATCACCTTGATTTTCTAAGATAAATGCTAGCACCTTGATTTTCTAGTTTCCAGGACTATGTGAAAATGATTTTTTTTTTATTGTTTAGACCGTGTACTCTATGGTGTTTTTGTTTAAAACACCCTGGAAAAGTCATTCAGCTGCTTTGAAGAGCAACAGAAAAGATACTTAAATGTGTGCGCATATTATAAATAGCAGCCAGTCGCACATAAATGCCCCACAATGTGTCATTGTCTCAGAGTATCCATTGAACCCTGAAAGTCTGAGGGGTATCGAAACACACCCTTCTGTCAATGTTCTTCATGGTCAGCAGGTCCAGGGACTTGAGGGAGTGTCCTGTAGGTGCGATGAAGTAAAGGCAAACGTGGATACGGGAATCGTGATAGTCAACCAAAGAGCGCTTGATCTTCAGCTCCTCCTGGAGATATGCCTCAAACTGAGCATCCAAGTATTCAACCACTGGCTGGTAGCTGAAAAACAAAGTGATTACTGAAACATTTAGCACCAACAGATTAGTAAAATATAAATCTGATGTCTTACTATTTAGTCAACATTGTATGCAAAAAAAAAAAAAAAAAAACAGTTTGGCACTTGACAAAATTGATGCATTTTGCCGGGCGGTGGTAGCACACTTCTTTAATCCCAACACTGGGAGGCAGAGGCAGATAGATCTCTAAGTTTGAGTCCAGCCTCATCTACAGAAGGAAAAGAAAGAAAAAAATGAATGAATGAATGAATGAATTTGCTGGCTTCAGTGGTATGAATAGTTCCATCTACACTCACACATACTCTCTCTCTCTCTCTCTCTCTCTCTCTCTCTCTCACACACACACACACACACACTCATACACACAGTTAAAATGATAAAAATAAAAATTTTAAAATATTATTTGCTAATTTTATGCTGCTAACATGAGGTTAGTAAATGCAGAGTTGAGGTGGAGCAAGCTGGAAAGATGGCTCAGCTAAGACCATTAGCCACTCTTCCAGACGACCCAGGTTTAATTCCCAACACCCACAAGGCAGCTCACAATTTCCTGTTACTCCAATTGCAGGAAATCTAACACTGTCTTCCGACCTCCATGAGCATGAGGCTTGCATGTAGTACATAGACATACATATAGTCAAAACACCCATTCACATAAAATAAGACATTTTAAATAAGACAACTATACTAGATATATAGAAGCATCAATTTCATAATATTACTTCATGAGGAAAGAGTTAAAAGCTAGAAGGAAAGACATCAATTACCATAGAAGAACATTATAGATCATTGTTTAGGAGCACATACTGATGTTCCAGAGGACCCAAGTTCGGGTCCTGGCATCCATCTGATGGCACACAACCACCTCTAAGTGCAGCTGCAAGAGGCCCCAATGCCTCTAGTATCTACAGGCACCTGGTACACACACACACACACACACACACACACACACACACACAATATATATATACACACACACACACACACTCTCTCTCTCTCTCTCTCTCTCTCTCTCTCTCTCTCTCTCTCTCTCTCTCTCTCTCTCTCTCTCTCTCTCTCTCTCTCTCTCTCTCTCTCTCACACACACACACACACACACACACTCATACACACAGTTAAAATGATAAAAATAAAAATTTTAAAATATTATTGCCAGGCAGTAGTAGCACACACCTTTAACCCCAGCACTCAGGAAGCAGAGGCAGGTGGATCTCTGAGTTTGAGGCCAACCTGGTTTACAGAGTAAGTTCCAGGAGAGCCAGGGCTACACAAAAAAAAAAATTACAATTTAATCTAGCAAAAAGAAGGTGATTTGTTGAAATGAGAATGATTTTAAACAAAATATTAAAACACAGTGGCTGGTGGCACACACTTTTAATCCAAGCACTTGGGAAGCAGAGGCAGACAGCTAACTGAGGGTTCAAGGTCAGGATGATTCTATAGAGAGGATTCCTGGTCAGTTGGGCCTACATAGTAAGACCCTGTCTCAAAAAAAAAGAAAAAAAAAGAAAAGAGTGAACTCTTCTTATTTTTTATTTTTTTGGTTTTTTGGTTTTTTGGTTTTTTGAGACAGGGTTTCTCTGTGTCACTTTGGAGCCTATCCTAGCACTCGCTCTGGAGACCAGGCTGGCCTCGAACTCACAGAGATCCGCCTGCCTCTGCCTCCCGAGTGCTGGGATTAAAGGCGTGCACCACCAACACCCAGCTCTACTTATTTTTTAAAAAGAAAAAACACATCATAATGAAACCCAATACCTTTTATGATAATGTTAAAAATTAATTCAAAAACAGTAAGAAAACACTAACCTGGATTCTTTGTTTATTTGGTCACCATACCCCACTGTTTTCACAACTGTCAATTTCAGTGGAATATTTCTTTCCTGAAGCTCGTATGTCTTCACTTTAAGTCCAACCTTTGAATAGAAATGGGAGGTCTTGTTCTCTTTCATATTAGTATTGAATAGTGTGTTGATCAGTGTTGATTTCCCAATTCCAGTTTCTCCTGCAATAAACATAAGCACATCATCGCAGAGGTGTAAGAGCGTGCTGAACCTCAGTGAGTGGTTTAAATGGTCACACTCCTGAATGGAAAGGGCAGAATAATCACAAGAGGCTGAGGATAGAACTGAGATTTATTGATAGAAGCACACATAGCTTCAAATATGCGGGAGTAAGCTTTCATATCAGTTACACAGCAGAATAACCATAGCTAATGAAAAAGTACATTTCAAAATGGCTAAAGGATAAACTTCAAACATCTCACTATTAAAATGATAGGAAAATAGGAGGACTATTGCTGTGGATAATGCTCATTCTTAATTTAAAAAAAAAACTGATTGACTGATAGCAGGGCAAGAAGAGACTGGGTGAGAGAACTTGATGCAGAGAGTGATGGGTGGAGGAAGGGCGGAGTCAGAGAGTCCCTGGAAAATGCAGAGAACCAAGGTGAGAATGCTGTACTGAGAAAAGGTACCAAGCCACACAGCTAAACATAGATAGAATTATGGTTAATTTAAATGTAAGAGTTAGCTAGTGACAAGCCTGAGCTATGGGCCAACCATTTATAATTAATATTCAGCCTCTGAGTCAGTTATTGAGACCAGGTGGTTGGGACAGGAAATGTCCGATTACAGACTATGTTAATTCATCTTACTTACTCTGATCGTTCTACATGATAGCATCACAGCACAGATTATATTCCACTAATGTATAGAAGTAGAGTTTGTTGACTAAAAATGATATATGTTTCCAATAAATACATAAATGAATAGTCACACTGAGATGTCCCTGGAAGTATTCATACTGGTTAGGACTCCCTTAGTCACTAACATGGCAAAGAAAGAAAATGGACTGTACTGTGTCAGAGTTTGAAGAACTCCGAAATATCTTCAGCTAAAAAAATTTTTAGGCAAGATCTAACTATGTAGCCCTACCTGCCCTGGAATTTGATATGTAGATCAAGCTGTCCTCAAGCTCACAAAGATCTGTCTGTTCAGCCTCCCAAATGGTGGGATTAAAAGCAAACATCCCATCTGGGAGGTGGTGGCCCACAGCTTTAATACCAGCACGAGAGGATCTTTGTGAGTTTGAAGCCAGTTGGGAGTTCCAGAACAGCCAAGCAACACAGAGAAATCCTGTCTCAAAAAAAAAAAAAAAAAGTGTCACCAGGCCAGGCTGGAAGGTTCTTAGGTATTTAAACAAGGCAGCTAAGAAGGGGGAAAACAATATAAAAATGAAGAAATGTCCTGAATTAACATCAATACTATACTGTTTGGTATCAGTTTACATGAGTAGGAGACAAATGAAACAATAATTTAAATGCATGTCTGGCACTTACCCACGCAGAGAATATTGAAAGAGAATCCTTTCTGGATGGATTTGTTCACCAGCTGCGTGGGCAAACATTCAAACCCAAAATGGCTCAGAGTGGTTAAGCAACGGATGTCCTCATTGTGCTTAGATAAAACAAATAAAAAGGTTCTCATTAGAATCAAAATAGCATCCTTTGGAAGGACAACACTAAATATGTTTTTAAAAAATCAGGACTGGTTATCACTGCATTGTCTACTCAATGCAAATGTATAATGATTTTTTTTTTGCAAAAAGAATTCAAATGTTGATGTTATTGTTATAAATAAACTGAATCAACCTCTGATCATACTTTAGGAAAGTATGTTCCTGGGCTGGAGAGATGGTTCAGCGTTTAAGCGCACTGACTGTTCTTCCAGAGGTCCTGAGTTCAATTCCCAGCAACCACATGGTGGCTCACAACCACCTTGAATGAGATCTGGTGCCGTCTGCCTGCATGCAGGCAGAAGACTGTATACATAATAAATGAATAAATAAAATCTTTAAAAAAAAAAAAAAAAGAAAGTATGTTCCTAAATTACAGTTTAGGGGGATAGAGAAGACAGAAACAAAGAGAACGGATCTGCTGTGGGTAGAATCCCAGCATGACCACGCCAAATGCCAGGACCAGTCAGAGAGTAACAGTCTGAGGCGGCGGTTGCCAGCCTATATAAGGGAGGGGTTTTTGGGAGTTCGGAGTCTCCGCCCTGTAAGCTTATGCTCTCCCTCTCAAGACGCATTAAAGCTTTACTGCAGAAGGATCCTGATTGTGTCCCTGCGTCGTTTTTGCTGGCGAGACGGTTAGCGCGGGACAAATTTCCTAAGAAATTGAAGACAATAAAGCACCATTAGATATCCCAGGGTAGCCAGGTGGTGAGTGGTGTCATTCTCCTTTAATCCCAACACTTGGGAGCAGAGACAGGCAGATGTTCATGAGATCCGGGCCAGCCTGGTTTACAGAGTAAGTTCCAGGATACCCAGAGCTCTTACTCAGAGAAACACTGACTTGAAAAAAAGAAGTAGAAGGAGGAAGAGGAGGAGGAGAAGAAGGCAAGGGAGGGAAAGGGAGGGGAGTGGAAGAGAGAGAGAGAGAGAGAGAGAGAGAGAGAGAGAGACTTCAGGGTATTTGTCTAAAATAGTATTGGCTTTCCTATGTAAAGGAAATTTTCATATTGCCTCAACATGTATCTATATTAAGAAAACCTAAAGTAGGTATGGTGGTAACTATGATCCCAGCACTTAGGAAGTCAAAGCAGGAGCAGGAGTTCAAGGCCAGCCTCTGCTGCCTAGTGATTTAGAAGCCAGCCTAAATACATGAATCTTGTCTTTTCTGATATGGAAAAGGAAAAAATGTTTTTTTTTTCCTTTTGTTGGTTTTTCTTGTTCTTGTTGTTGTTTTGGACAGGGTTTCTCGGGCTGTCTTAGAACTCACTCTGTAGACCAAGCTAGATTCACCTGCCTCTGCCTCTCAAACACTGGGATTAAAGGTATGCAACAAACTTTTTTAGACAGGTATGGTGGTGCATGTTTTTAATCTCAGTGCTTGGGAGGCAAAAGCAGGCAGATCTCTGTGAGTAGGAGACCAGAGTTCCAGGACAGCCTGGGATATACAGTGAAGTTTTGTTTCCCCCAAAAAAATGGTGGGTGGAGGTGAGGAAGCAAAATAATTTAAAAAAATTAAAGCCTGGCATGGTGACACATGCCCTCAACCCCAGCACTTGAGGAGACAGAGGCAGGTTGCTGTCTGGGAGTTTGATGTTAGCCTGGTCTACAAAGTGAATTCCAGGACAGCCAGGACTACAGAGTAAGCCCTTGTCTCAAGAAAAAAAAAAAAAGCAATTACATGCTAATGTATGTGACATAATCAAAATCAATTTGAAGTATAAAACTAAGCAAGTGGGGGACTAGAGAGATTGCTCAGTGGTTACAGTGCTTTCTGCTTCTCCAGAGGACTGGAGTTTGGTTTCCAGCACTCACATCCTGTAACTCCAGCTCCAGGGGAAAACACACCCTCTTCACACACCCTCTTCTGGCCTCCAAGGGCAAGTGCATGCACATACCTGCACACACAAACACATAAATAAAAAATAAAATAAGGGCTGGAGAGATGGCTCAGAGGTTAAGAGCACCAACTGCTCTTCCAGAGGTCCTGAGTTCAATTCCCAGCAACCACATGGTGGCTCACAACCATCCGTTATGAGATCTGGTGCCCCCTGCTGCCATGCAGATATACATGGAAGCAGAATGTTGTATACATAATAAATAAAAAATAAAATAAAACAACCCTTTAAAAAACTATACAGACAGTCTGGCTGTGGTGGTGCATACATTGATCATGGCTGCTTGCTCTACTTCTATTTTCTTCACATTTTCTGTTTTCAGGTCATTTCATTTTTAAGTTTCTTCCCATGAAACAAGATGTAATACCATTTTTCCATGGCTGAATAACACTCTGTGACATGGCCCAGTGGGATGGACTCATATTTTGGGCTGCAACACTGCCATCTGAGATGTGGATCCTGATGCAACCCTAAGACTGTGAAGGTCCTTGAAGGCATAAATCAGCTTAGATAGAGCCCTGACAACCAAGAGGTTGTCTTCACCAACAGTACCCAGCCTCAGGCACCATACTGTGGGAAAAAATCCCTTTCATTGAAAATTGAACAGGGCTGGGCATTGTAGTGTACACTTTTAATTCCAGTATCAGGAGGCAGAGGCGGGTGAATCTCTATGAGTTTAAGGCCAGCCTGGTCTACATTATGAGCTCTAGGACATCCCAGGTTATGTAGAGAAACGAAAGAAAGAAAGAAAGAAAGAAAGAAAGAAAGAAAGAAAGAAAGAAAGAAAGAAAGGAAGGAAGGAAGGAAGGAAGGAAGGAAAGAAAGTTGAACAAGATGGTAAGCACAGGACTTCCCTTGAAGTCTAGTGCCAGGTGAGTAAAAGCTAACACTGGTTCAACCATCACAGGCCTATCTTGAGCCTCTGACCCTGTGGCAGGTCAGAAGATCCATGCCTGTAGTCTATTGGACTGTCATTCTATCACCTGTAGCTCATTACAGGAATCTTGGGTCTTTAGTTAACCTGGGCACTAGGCAGCCCACAGCAGCATGAACCCTGGTTGTGCTCCTGTGGTGTGCAGGGTTGATGGACTGTGGACTCAGGGAGTGATTGTAAATTGCAGCATTCATGGCTGGGAGGCTGGGAACTTGACAGCGGTTCTCAACCTGTGGGTCATGACCCCTTTTGGGGTCGAATATCAGATACCCTGCATATCAGATTATTTATATTATGATTCATAACTGTAGCAAAATTACAGTTATGAAGTAGCAACAAAATAATTTTATGGTTGGGGGTCACCACAACATGAGGAGCTGTGTTAAGCAGCCACAGCATTAGGAAGGTTGAGATCTGCTGACTTGGAAGATTGGGATAGACCAGAATGTTGACACACACATGCATGTATACATATGCCCATGCACACACATGCACCAAGACCTGGGAGGACTCTACAGTGTCTGACCACAGCATGACTGATGACTGTCAAGAGGTCTGGACCTGCCCTGGCCCCATTAATGACACTCATGAGAGAAGACAGCCAGCTACTTTCAGACACATCCTGTCCTGCCCCTTAGATAGTTTAAAGTGACATGAACTGCAGGTTCAAGACAAACCTAGCTTGGCTTGTCCTCTAATGCTGACACAGTGGCCACAATACCACGATTACTGAACTTGACAACTGTTGTCTCATCCCACAGGAAGCTTTGTGGGTGTTCATGGCACTTCTGGGACTGAGAGCAGTTGTTCCAGCCCTTTGCTTCTGCAGGAGCTTCTGGTATCTGTCCTAATAGCACAGCTCAACTCAGAAGTGCCCCTTTGAGTGCCACTGCTACCATCATCAGACTGGCCACAGAAAGGGTACTGCACACTCAGGGCTGTGTTTACAACACCTGCACCAAAAGCTAGAATGTCCCCACCCCTCGTGTCCCTCAGCAACAGGCTCTTTTCAAACCTATCACAGCATGCACCGTCCCCAAAGCCATTAATTACAACCACAGATGATGTAGAGAAATTGTCATGTCCAGTTGGAATCAAAGCCAAGACATGCACCAAACTGAAACACCAACATACATCCTCAGGAGAAAGCCACTTAGTGGGACACTTTTAAGTGTGGTCAAGACATGCTCTACCACATGCACAAATATGACTGCAGGTGCATAAGAAATATGGCTAGAAGCTGGGCAGTGGTGGCACACACCTTTAATCCCAGCACTGGGGAGGTAGGGGAAGGCAGACCTCTGTGAGTTCGAGGCCAGTCTGATCTACAAAGCTACACAGAGAAACCCTGTCTTGCAAAAAACAAACAAACAAAAATGGCCAGATACCAGGGGATGATGGCTCATGCTTTTTAATCCCAGCACTCAGGAGGCAGAGGCAGGTGGATCTCTGAGTCAGAGGCCAGCCTGGTCTACAGATTTTCAGGACAGCCTGGGTTACACAGCAAAACACTTTCTTGAAAAAAAAAAAAAAACAAGAGCGAGAGAGAGAGAGAGAGAGAGAGAGAGAGAGAGAGAGAGAGGAAGGAAGGAAGGAAGAAAGAAAGAAAGAAAGAAAGAAAGAAAGAAAGAAAAAGAAATATCACCAGGTGGTGGTAGCATGTCTTTAGGGAGGCAGAGGCAGGCAGATCTCTGTGTGTTTGAGACCAGCCTGGTCTACAGAGTGAGTTCCAGGACAACCAGGACTGTTGCACAGAGAAACCTTGTCTCAAAAAAGGAATTTTTTTTGTGGGTTGTTTTGTTTTGTTTTTGTTTTTTCTCTCTGCAGACCAGGCTGGTCTCAAACTCAAGGAGATCCACTTACCTCTGCCCCTGCCTCCCGAGTGCTGGGATTAAAGGCATGCCTCACTACTGCCAGGGGGGATTACATTTTTTTTAAGCAACTGGTAATTTCAAAAGAACACGGTAACTCTCTAGCAACCGTTCCCAAAGAAAATGATATTGAAGAAATGTCTAACAATGAACTTTAAAATGTTTTAGTTCATTTATCCAACATGTGTTTTGGCTAAACTAAGAAAAATACAGGGAGGACTTAAATAATCAAAATCAAAGATGAAAAGTGATACATTATAACAGGCTCCAAAGAAAGGCAGAAGGGCATTAGACAGATCCAAGATGGCAGACTAGAGCACTC